TTAAGTTTCCAAATACAGGTCGGTCAGCAGCATTTCTCTATTTCTTGACTTTTTTCCAAATAGAAAGCTTATTTACAGTACTATAACACCAACTTACTAATTAATTTGGCTTACATTAAAAATTAATTTGCATGCGGCAGGGTCATAACATGACCGTGGTTGAAGCTGATGGCAACTACGTGGACCCATTTGTGGTGCAAAATCTCTTCATTTACTCCGGAGAAACCTATTCCGTACTCCTCCGGGCAGACCAAGACCCAAAGCGGAACTATTGGATGTCCACGCAAGTCGTGGCCCGAAACAACACCACCCCAAATGCATTGGCCATACTCAATTACGGAACCAACAGTGCTACTCCAACCAGCCCCCCACCGGTGGGGCCGCGGTGGGACGACCTCGCGCCCCGGGTGAACCAGAGCCGGTCGATCCGGGCGCACCCGCGCTTCAACACCCCCCCGCCCGCGACCTCTGACCGCACCATCGTCATGCTCAACACGCAAAACACCGTCGACGGGGTGCGCAAGTGGGCCATCAACAACGTGTCGCTGTTCCTGCCCCACACGCCGTACCTCGTCGCGGTGAGGTACAACCTGTCGGGCGCCTTCGACCCTACGAGCCCGCCCGACGGCTACCACGACGAGCAAAACTACGACATACACGCGGTCCAGAAGAACACCAACGCCGTTGCGAGGGACGGAATCTACCGGCTCGACTTCAACTCGACCGTGGACGTGGTCCTGCAGAACGCCAACACGATGAACCCAAACAACAGCGAGACGCACCCCTGGCATCTGCACGGGCACGACTTCTGGGTGTTGGGCTACGGGGACGGGAAGTTCAACCGGTCCACCGACCCGGTAAAGTTCAATCTTGTGGACCCGGTCATGAAGAACACGGTCCCGGTCCACCCGTACGGATGGACCGCGTTCCGGTTCAAGGCGGACAACCCGGGGGCGTGGCTGTTCCATTGCCACCTTGACGCGCATTTCTATATGGGGATGGGTGTGGTGTTTGAGGAAGGGATACGACAAAAGTTGGGGAATTTGCCTCCTTCCATTATGGGGTGTGGACTCAGCAAAAACATCACTCACCCATAGACGCGCTGATTGCTTAATTATTATATGTGGAATTATTTATTTAATTACTCCCATCCTTAATTACTCAGCATTTTATGATCTTTTTTTCTATGTCATGAGTTTTGAACGATTATTTGTATGAAGTATTCCTGGATCCATTCCACTTTTATTATACGAATGTATTGTATTAATGTATTATGTTATTCCCTTCTTGTTTAAATAATCTTTTTATTTTGAAGTGTCATAAAATGCATAAACTTGCTATTTCTAATAAGCCCGACCACTAAAAATAAAGTAAAATGGTCTCAAATAGTTTTTTTAAAAAAAATTTATACCCGGTATCATAAAAAACAAGTTTGTGCAGTTTATAATTCTTGTGTTTGTGACTTTGGTACAGAGTATTACATTTTGTATTAGAGAAATGATAGTCACAAAATTCACAAATTTGTTATTCCCTCCGTTCTAAAAAACCATTCCCTTTCATTTTTTTCCAATTCCTTAATGGTATGTTTGGGAATATGGATTTGGATTTCAAATCCGGATTTGGCTCAAATTCCATGTTTGGGAAACTTATAAATTTTGAATTAGGATTTGAATCAAATTTTTTTCATTCATAACAAAGCTTAATTTTAAATCCATGCGCCTCCCCTTGTCATTTGAAATTCAAGATTTCAAATTTTGGAATTGAAATACATGAATTGAAATGAAATCCTAGTTGCCAAACACTACCTAAAACACTTCCACTTTTTATTAAAAAACCACTTTAACCCCTACTTTTTCATACCATACCTATCACATCATATTTTTTTACTAATAACCAAACTATCACATCTTACTTTTAACCATCACATCAGGGGTAAAATTGGAAAGTCAACCAACATTACACTTTCCTTATTTTGGCCCAAAGTCAAAATGGGAAGGGTTTAAAGGAACGGAGGGAGTGCTTCTTTAGTCACCTTAAGTGCATACTATTTTTGTAGATCTTCTCTCATAATTTTTTTTAATTATTTTATTAAATAAACATGTGTGTATTTAAGTATTAAGAAAATGCTTGTTTTGTTTATATGTAGGTCAATGGTGGACCTCAAGTCCACCATAGAATTTGTCTGTGTTCTGACCTCCTGTTTGCGATTCGGAGTAAAGAAAAACAAAATTTAATTAATTACTCTTATTTAGAAGAGTTTTAGTTTGAGCTCCTATTTTGAGTACATAATATATGTCTTAATTCTATTTTGGGTGATTTTTTTAAAATAACTTTAGTCAAATATCATAAACCAAAACAGATGATATAAATTAGAATGAAAAAAGTATATTATTACATGACATGACATTAAAAAAAATACATGGAATGATATTTGCTAGAAGAAAGCTTATATGGCTATACATGGCATGACATTTGGCAAAAAAAATCCTACATGGCATGACACATAGCACAATCACAATTAATTATTTCTACTTTATAGTTTATATATATACATATGATTTGATGCTGTTGTATGTTTTAAATTTGTTTTAAAATGTTAGAAATTTTATAATTTAGGTTTGAACATGGTAATTTTTTGTATTTTTTTGTTACCGTACCATTATTATAATTTCTTTTATTTGTAAAAAAATAAACTGACACCTTGGATGTAGTACCAAAAACAATTAGCACTTAATACAACTATTTTTTTAATTACTTTTCATGTTCTAAGAGTTTGATGAGAGTGAATTCAAGTGTGATCATATCACACATTTGAGGTGTTCTTACTCTTTAAGAGGTCCTCAGGGATAGGATTTATCCTTTTTTTTAATATTCATTTGAAAGTAAAATAAATAAAGTAAATATATATTAACCTAAAAAGTAAAAATCTCTTTTCAATAGAAGCATGCTAGACCAGCACAAACAAGGAATCACGCTGGATCTTGTGGGGCATAACGCTATTTTTCCTCATGTATTAGGGCCAAGCCCTCTTGCAAAATTTAGACCAAACATCATGTGTGCAGGTGATCAAATTGGGCCACAAGGGGGCCCAACCCACAACCCTTTACTCGAGGAGGGTTGTGTTAAGTCTAAACAACCAACGTAAAACTTTGTCGAATCTTCATGACATGGACGGAGGGAGTAAGATATAAAATATTTTAAATAATATGGAGTAATATATAAAAATATTTGTATATAATATTTTGTTTCATATTAAAATTAATATAATATGATTGTTACTATTTACTCCATAAAATATTATATAAAATTATAATTACTTCAATCTATATAAAATACGGCGTGCGTAATTGTATTGTTCAAAAAAGACAAATATTTGTAAAATATAGTGTACATTCACACGCACGCACATAGATTATTTTTTTGTTATTGATTTAGTTGTCGCGGGTCATCTTCAGGTTCAGCATATTTCCACTACTCAACAAGCCGCGGATATTCTCACGAAGCCTCTCGGTCGCCCTCTTTTTCAAAAGTTCCGATCCAAGATCGGAGTCTCCGACGGATCCTCCATCTTGCGGGGGCGTATTAAAGATAAATAAATACATATCCATTATATTTATTTATTTATGATCATTTATCTCTTGTTTGTATATATCTCTTTATAGTTGTTACTTATGTATAATATCCTAGTTAGTCTCTACCTCACACGTCTATCTCCTATTCTTTAGGATCGGCTCAACTGTTTATAGTATATATATATTGTAATCCAATATTGAATAAAGTGAGTTTGATAATTCTCTTATAATTACTCTTGTAATATTCCCTTCTTGTTTAAATAATCTTTTTATTTTGAATTAGAGAAAGTCACCAATAGAAGTGTCATAAAATGCATAAACTTGCTATTTCTAACTTCTAAGCCCAACCACTAACAAAATAAAATGATCTCAAATAGTTTTTAAAAAAATTAATACCCAGTATCATAAAAACAAGTTTGTGGAGTTTATAATTCTTGTGTTTGTGATTTTGGTACAGAGTATTACACTTTCACTTTATATTAGAGAAATGATAGTCGCAAAATGCACAAATTTGCTATTTATGAATCATGATCCTACTAAAATCAATTCTCATTTTGAGCACGTGGCAACCTCTGTGAGCCCCTAAAATATGGAGCACCCTAAATATATATGGATATAATACTGTCTATCTTCCAGTATATTTGTTCAATAAAAGCACGCTAGACCAGCACAAAGAAGGATTCACGCTATATCTTGTGGGGCCTAAAGCTATTTTTTACTCATGTATTAAGGTGGGCCAAGCCCTCTTACAAAATTCAGACCAAACATAATGTCATATCTGCCCATGCAAGTGATCTAATTGGGCCACAAGGCGGCCCAGCCCACAACCCTTTACTCGAGGAGGGTCGTGTTAAGAGTAAGCAACCAACATAAAACTTTGTCAAATCTTCATGACATCGATGGATGGAGGGAGTAATATATAAAATATTTTAAATAATACAGAGTAATATATAAAAATATTTGTATACAATACTTTGTTTAATTTTAAAATTAATATAATATGATTGTTACTGGTTACACCATAAAATATTTTATAAAATTATAATTACTTTAATCAATATAAAATAAAGGTACGTAATTGTATTGTTCAAAAAAGAAAAATATTTGTACACCGTCGCACGCACGCACATACACACACACATAATCTGGACGGGGCAAACTTAAAGTTCACATAATTTTCCATATCCATCCATTTTTAAGGATGGGATGAACAGACTGAACGGGCTAACTCGAATTTGTGCAGGTCTAAAGCACGCATAGACTTTCTCCCACCAGTCTCAAATTTATACTCCGCATGCAAAGCTACACTTTTCTCTGCATTGCATATGTTAATGTCTTACCGAGTAATCACAAGAGAAAGCTAATTAACATCAAAGTTATAGAACAAAATACCAATGTATATATAAATTTTCACAAGATCAAAAAAACAATTTGAGGATAAATTCACCCTTGGAATATTTGCATTAAAGAAACGAGAAAGCGTGCAAGGAAAACCGTGGATGTATACAAACCAGAGTTTATTACATTCTCATGAACTCGAAATTGATGGGATAAGATACAATCATACAAGGGGGGGAAAAAGCTTAGAAACTACACAAGCCTATAAATACAGAAGTGACTTAGCTTACAATGAATGTGAATACAACAGCAAAAACACCTTGACAATGAATCCGCATGCACAAGATACAAAAGAATAATATACTGCTCGTAACAACTTGTTGTTTCAAGGCTACGAAGGGAAAGATGCTATACATTTGGTGGTGAATGAAAGAAACTCAAGAATTTGAGAAAATGGGCAAAAACCTCGCAGTTGTTTCTACACTTCGGTTTTGTTGGACCACTGGAATTCTATCTCCAAGTTCCTAGACGGTCCACTTTTGCTCTCGGGCAACAAGGTGTACTCCCCAGAAACTGCACCAAGCATCACTACTCGGTCAATCTGGATCGTCACCTTCCCAAATGAGCTCTGCAAATGACAGCATTCGAGAAGCAAGCTATGTTAGGAATGATAAAAGCTACTAAGCTAGAGCACCGAGGTGAGAAGAAGAGGAAGAAGAATCAAGGCAAGACTCCTTATTTTACCTTTCCTATTTTGCTCTTGTTCTTGCATGAGATATGAAGCTTTTGTCCTTTTGGGGGACTTTCAAAGGACCACGCAAAGCTTTCATCCCATTCGGGATTAGGACCAGTTGATGCAACCTGACACAATGGAAAAGTCATGCATACCTCATCATTACCGCCATAATCCAAATTATGTTGTGTTGGGGGGATCCGTGGCATTTAATATTTAGTGCCAATCAATTGATTGTTTAAAGTTAGATAGTATAGAGTAATATAAATGCATGAAAAAAAATACTGGCAAGGTTCTGTCCTGGATCAGGATGTCTTTCGTGTTGCAACCTTCTTACAAAAGATTAAAGAAAAACAAATCCAAAGCGATCCTAAAAAATAAGGAACCTTCTTTGAGAATTTCCTTCTTTGTTAAAAGTATTAAATCCTCTTGGTCAATAAATCAGAATGTTGACACTGATATGATGGCATAGTTATCACGGCACCAGTGTACCGCCGTGACTCCTTGTCCTAGACGACTAGGCTATTATTAGGCGCCCTAGGAGGCAACACATAAGAAATCACTCAAATCAGGATTGGTATACATTAGTGATACTAAGTAACAATAATTTAAATATAAACATACAGGATATATGTTCTCTAAAAGTAATCAAAAATTTAAATAGACATACTTAAAAAAATAAAAACAGACCATAATAAGAAGGAAAAAAAATATGAAATACTCCCTCCGTCCCAGAGTATTTGTCCACTTTCATTTTTACACACCATCCAATACACTTCTTTAATCCATTTTATCTTGTAATTTGTATATTAAAAAATTATAGAAATTATATATTAATAATCTATATGTTAAGACAAATCAAACAAGATCACACATGACTATATTTAGGCTTACACATTGAGAGAATTTGATGAGTCAAAGTGCTTGGATGAACAGTTCCAAAAGTCAAAAGTGNTAAGAAGGAAAAAAAATATGAAATACTCCCTCCGTCCCAGAGTATTTGTCCACTTTCATTTTTACACACCATCCAATACACTTCTTTAATCCATTTTATCTTGTAATTTGTATATTAAAAAATTATAGAAATTATATATTAATAATCTATATGTTAAGACAAATCAAACAAGATCACACATGACTATATTTAGGCTTACACATTGAGAGAATTTGATGAGTCAAAGTGCTTGGATGAACAGTTCCAAAAGTCAAAAGTGGACGAATATAGCGGGACGGAGGGAGTACGAAATATGATTAAAACACAATACGCGACTTCTTAGTGCAAAGTAAATACTAAGTATGAAAAAAGTCACTAGCTAAAAGGCATAAAGGATTTTCAAAAGGCGATTCCTAGATGCCTAGGCGAGGGATGCGAGATAAGGCGAGGCGATATATATCATGGCGAGAGGAGCCAACCACCAGGATGCCTAGGCAGCGCCTTGATCACGATGTATGACGGTGCACTAAAATATCCAACACCATGCACAACTAAGCCTAGACGGATTATTGGAAATAATAATAAATTTAAAAAAAATACAAAATGAGACGTGTACCTTGGTTTGCAGAGGTGGTGTATTACCAAGGGTAAGCTTGCAATAAACACTAGGATTTCCAACTGACTGTCTCATGTTATTGCCTCGCTTAATAATCACCACTAATGTCCCTGGCAAGCATTGCAAAAGGAATTCTGCCTTCTCCTGAAACCTAGGCGGGCCTGATTGTATCAAATACTGCAACAAAGGGATAGCATCAGCAGCAGCAATTGATTGGGCTCGAGATACTTCAGCTGGGCAGGCTGACCAAGCATGTCTGAGCAAGTACAGAGCATCCAGAGCAGCTTCTTGAGTTGCCTCTGAACCAGTCTTGAGGGCGGTGACCAGATGTGGTATACTTAGAGTTGCAGGTTCTGTTGCTCTCAAACGTGGGAAGTTTCCAAAAAGTGCATTCAAAGCCTTCAGATACTCTTCGTTAACTGTTCCTGTTGCCCACAAGTCTTTTTCGAGTGCAGCTGCAAGACCAGATTATTTGTTTAACTGAATGTGTTTTTTGTTGTGTACATTGCAGAAGCAGAAATAAGCATGAATTAATCAATATTATTCTGAACAAGAAGAAACTCATGAAATGTATAGCAGCATTGTTGTGGTGTTGGCAAGAATTCATTTCACAAACTAATGCCAAAAAAATTATGTTAAATTGAGATTGCTGCCGGTGCAAATGCTAGTAGTACTACATGGATACATGGTACATGTTTATTGGCCCTATGCATGGAATGGATCTAAATCTGTTGCATAGTAAGTGGTATTGATATTACTTGACACATTCCTTGCCTCTATGAATCTATTCCTTCATTAACACACATCATTCTATTTTTTAAGTGTAACAGTAAACCTTTAGACGACCTTAAAACTCTTCACTTACCCAAGAACATGAAAAGGTGAAATTTGTTGAATAATACAGCGGAAAAATTTATGTCCGAAAATTGTCCAATTTATCAAATATTTCCAACAAAATTTATATAGCCCACCATATATTAAAGTGATGCCTAATTCACACTTTTAAAAGATACGAATCTAAACCACCATTAGAGATCTTTTTAAAAGGGGTGCATGATAACAATTACACACTAAATTCTAGTGTGGGGAAAAGGTACTAATGGTTTTGAAGAGTGCTTTTTCACTCTTTATTTTTTGAACTGAAAAAAGACATTAATATTATATGAAGATAGTAAGGGTGAAGATTTGAATCCTTGATCAAGGCATTTTGAGTATGATTGTGACGCCACATGCAAGAAGACCATGTATGGCAATTTGCATTCTCTAATTGGAATTTCATAGGTAATATTTAAAAATGAAGCTTACCTGTTATAGCTCTGACGGTCTCGCCCGAAGCATATTCTTGAATAGTATTGTTAGAAAAGAGAAGCTTAATAAACATTGCTGCCTGTACTGATGTATCTGGATCACTTGAACCAATAACATCGAGCACAACCTGAACGCCTCCTGCTTCTGCAACAGCTCTTTTATTTGATCGGCTATACATAACAAGGTTCTGTAATGCACATATTGACACCACTTTCATTTCTTCAGTGGGCTGATCCTCAAGCAGATTAACCAATGCCCGGCATGCAGAAACGGCATCTGATGTTCTAGCAAGTGACTCATTCTGGAATAGAGCACCAAGAGCAAGTGTCGCCATGAACCGCGCTTGCTGACCTTGGGTTTGTGGGTCCAAGAGGTATTGTGACAACGGAAGAATTGCTGACTTGGTAGCTTTGGTATCTCTGATCTTCACATTGTTCAGCAGAACCTCAAGCAGTCTAGCTGCAGTTTCCTCACAGATATGGCATCGGAGAAGTTCCAAAAGAGCTTCAATTGCTCCACTTTCAGCCATTGCTACAGCACTGGTGGAGTCATCACTTTCCAACACAAGTAGGGCATTTAGTGCACCAAGTATGGTGCTTTCTAAGCCAGAACGAAGCAATCTCACCAAAACAGCGACAGGTACTTCCAAGTAAAACTCAGAGCTGAATTGCAAGATACTGGCTAGGACAGAAGCAGCTGATTCCCACAAAGCATTTGGAAGCAAAGGATCAGCATTCAATAGCACTTTGGAAAGCTCACTTACACCGCCCTCTTTTGCAATCTCATTGGGCCAAGTTACTGAAACACAAACAAGAGCCTTCACGGCTCTCTGTTGCAGAATGGGTATATCAGAACCAAGCACTCGTACTAACGGGCCAATCACTTGTTGTGTAACAGGATCTTTCTGAAGATGCTCCTCCACAAGAAGGTGAGATAGAAGCTCAGCTGCCAACTGTTGAACAGCAGAAGCAGGAGAATCAAGTAAAGGAATCAAAGGTTCAATTGCTTGATGGGATGTCAAGGTGTAATCAGCACGGCATTGTGGGTGCTCTAATATGTTTACAAGAACCTGGAGAGCACTATGTTGTCCATCATGTCCAAACTCGGGTGCTGTTAGCAAGAAGAAAAGAGGCAGTTGTTGGAAACGACGTCTACCAGGGAACCGTTACCGACGCAACAACCAGTCATAAGAATCGTTAAGTCTTTTACGTCGTGTGTCCTTCACACCACGGAGTACTTCCTATAGTTCATACGAAAGATATTGGGGACGAAAATGGTAAAGGTTGAATGTGCTTCCAGACAGAAAGGGATTGAAGTGTTCTCAGGATCTTTTAGCCTCATGAAGCATATAATTCTGACCATAGAGAAGGCCTACAAGGGGGATGACAGCTCCGTGTGCAGCAACAAGTTCTGCCAGCTGTTCATCATCAACCAGTTTATCTAATGCATGAACAACTGAATGGTGAGCTGGACTAAATTCAGTAACCAGAAGAGAAACCAAAGGTTCCACACAGCGAGCAGCAGCAATTGTAGATCTTACTCTTGTACTAGTGAATAGAACAGAGCACAACTCGGCAGCATCCCCCTTCAGCTCCATTGAACAGTTTGATGAGAGAATCCTGCATAGAACCTCTACTGCATTCATCTCAACATCTGCAACGGCAAGAGCTCTTGATGGATTCTCACTGAGCAGCCGCACTAATGCAGCAATAGCAGCATGTTGCTCCTTTTCAAGACCAGAGTTTAGGATCTCTACCAAAGGTTTAACAGAATGCCTAACAGATTCTGCATTTCTTATATGATCTGCTGAAAACAGGTTCTCTAAGGCTTTGGCGGCACTATATCTTGCTGCCCTTCCTCCTAAACGTAAGACTGCTATAAGCTGACCAACAGCTCCAAATGCAGATTCATGTCTACGAATTTCAGCAGTACTAAATAAGATACCTAATAAATCAGTAGCTGCTTCCTCGGTTGCATCTTGTGGGCCAAGTGACAAGTACCTAGTCAATGCTTCAATAGCGCCACATTCTACCATTAAAATCTTGTTTGAAGAGCAGTCTTTAGCCAGTTGTATCAGCAGTCCAAGAGCTAAAAAAGGTGCACCTGGGCGATCTGGGATTGGTTTCAGCAAATCAACTAGTGCTGGTATAGCTTTCCTAGAAGTTACCCCAACCCTAATGTCATCAACCCTAAACAATCTTTCAAGAGCTACTTGCTCTGGATGACGTACCAAAGCGAACTCCTCTGAGAGTTCAATGAGGTCACTAATGTCATAATCGGACCACCCAAGCAATGAAATAAGACCTGCTGCTGCCCCTGAATTGGCAACAGAAAGAAGAGTTCCCCTGCTACCATTACAGACAAGACTGGCTATTGCTTGTGCTGCGAAATACCTGTTTGCTGACTCCTCTGACTTCAGCAAATTAGCCAGCACAGGTATGGCTTTTACTGTGACATGTTCCCGAATGATATCTCTATGTAGAAATAAGATCGCCAGTGGCAGTGCACAAACCCATATGCTAACATCCTCTTTAAAATCAATCTGCAGAATAAATCAAGAAGGAACTCAGTATCGTGTAATAAAATTCATCATATTGCCTTTGCAATGTTTGATAAAGGTCAAATAAACATAAAATCAAACAGTAAATCAATCCAATAAAGGGAAAAATCGTTAGCAAATTATACATGCTGCTGTTATAACATTTATTTATGCGGTTAAATACCTGAGTAAACTGGGAGAAAGATTGAGATATCTTTTCAGTAAGAGAGTCAATTCCACCAGCCTCCAAAATCTCAACTTTGCTATGGTTATCATGGCTAGCAAGAACAGATAGTAGCCATATAGCTATATTGGTACCATAGATAACTGAAGTACTTCTCTCCATTTCATCCTTCTTTGATTCATCTAAAGTATTCCTGGATATGTTTATTGCAATCTTGTGCCCTTCATTTCTATCCAACAGAGAAGATTCTAGGGGGTTCAGCATTCTTACAAGTGATTCAATTAGTGGAACACGTAAATTGAATTCACTTAAATCCTCAATCACTCTTTGGGAGTTCACATTTGTGGTGCATACAAGTAGAGCAGTTCCTCCAATCTTTACTCTTCCATCTGAGGAATCGATTACCCTTCTTACAATTGAAGATATGCATCCAGAAGTACACTCAATCGTTTCTCCTAGGACATCTGGCTGAGCTTGGCTGAGCGAAGATAATATCTCGATAGCTTTGTCTTGCAACAAGGGAGGTGCATCAGCAATACATGAGATGATCGGAATAATTCCATCTGTGTATTCTGCAAGAACTGCCCATGCAGGTTTAGTATGCCCACCAGGTCCTTCTAACCTTGAAAGATAACAAAGGGCATCTAGTGCTTCCGATATTGAAATAGATCCACCAGTAGTGGATCCAAGAAAATAGACCAAAGCAAGAACTGTCCCATTGCGATTGACACAGTCCGTTATTTCAGAATCAACATTATGAGATTGGAGAAGCCGAGCAATTGCCGAGGCAGCATGGGTTTGTCCATCAGTTGAACCTTCACGCAGAACTCTAGTGGCATGCAAGATAACTTCTTCAGGAACAGCTCTTTCACAAGCTTCATGGTCTAAAAGAAGATTGGCCAAAGCACATATTGCTTGCTCTGCTACAGGCAACGCTGTAGCGCTAGCAAGGATCACCAATGAGGGCAACTTATCTCTAGCAAGTGCAGCGACATCACGGTTCTCTTTAATTGATAGAAATACTGCAGAAAGACAACGGCAAGCTTCTACTAAGATGGCCTTAGATTCCATATTTAGAAGCTCTAAAACCGGACAAAGAGTTCTCAAAGCAAGACTGCTTTCACGCAAGTCCTTTCTGAGATTAAAGATTCCAGCAACTGCTGATGCAGACTTAGCCTGAGTCTCTTCCTTGTCGGAGCTTAGAAGATTTATCATCATCGCAATTGCATCATTTGATGCACTGCCTTCTCGCAAAATATCATTAAGAGGTACCATAGAAAGCAAATTTCTCAATGCAGCTAAGACATAAACTTTAGACTCGGGGAGATCACTGGCTAAAAGAGCAGTAAGTTGGCTTATGGTTGCAGTATCTGATTTATGGATTAAATGGTTCAATGTCTTGGCAGCAATTTCTTTGCCATTGGAGCTCCCATTCTTTAGCAGCCATAATAAAGCAGGAACAGCATCAGCACTCTCAACGCATTCACGTATGTCTTCACTGTGGTTACAGAGATTTCCAAGGATGGTTACAGAGTCTTCCTTAGCTTTGGAAGATCCTGTTTCGAGAATTTGAACAAGCGGAGGAATGCCTCCAGCTGCAGTGATGGCCCATTTACTTTCATCATTCTCATCCGACAGAAGGCAGAGTAAAGCAACGGCACACTCCTGTTGCTGCTCTGATGACACAGGTTCTTCTCTTTAGTCATCAACTTAGGGAAGCGCCGGAACTTCCCGTACGGTATTACTTGGAAGTAAAAACGTTTCTTACTCTTCCCTGGAATAGTTAAGTAGGACTTGAAGTAATCTACGGTAACACTATTCTGGTTAGTTGTTCGCAAAACGCAGTCTTAAACGTTCAAAAGATCTATCTTATCGTAAGGGTATTAAACTAGCAAGGGCTTCAATAGTACGCTCTTGCACCAGTAATGGCAACTGAGGCTTAAATTGTTTAACCAGTGTCTGTTCCACCTCCAAAGGGTCTGAGGCTCTTGCATTTTCGGCTTTGATATCATATATCATAAGAGCCGAAGCTAAAGCCCCTAATGTGTCAGCAACCTGGGCAGATGAAGAGCATGATTCAAGGCTCTGACCAAGACTCGATATAACATATGACAAGCCACCTGAAATGTTTGCAAGTGCACACATTGCATTCTCCTGCAAAGCTTGAGCATGTTCGCCCTGCATGAATTCCTTGGAGGGTGCTATAGTAGCATTTATTAGTACAGGAATACCATTCAAGTTTGCTATCTCTCTCCTGGCCTCTTTGGACTGAGCAGAAAGAGATTTAAGAGCCCCTGCAGACTCTGCCCTGACAAACGATTTATTATTGGGTCCCAGTAGTTTAAGCAGTTGCTGTGTGACATCTGAAGCCAAGACTTTAGAGCACACAGATGAATCCTCCATCATAATAGATGCAAGAAGAAAGCACACATTTGCTTGTGTGCTTGATTGTCCAGTGGCTAGCAATTTGACAAGTATATCCACTCCTCCCGCTTGATTCGTTGCAGACCAGAATCCTTCAGTGCTGGTACACAGGTTTTTTAAACTGCCTGTGATCAAGTCATCAACCAAGTTTTCAGCTTTGAGACCCTTCTGTAACTGTTGCCACAACACTGGCACAACTCCTTCAGTTGAAAAGATTTTTGAGCCAACATGGTCCTTAGCACCACCCTGAGACACAGCATATATAGTCTTTGCTGCTGCAATTTGACCTTCTGTTGAGCTTGACTTGAGGAGACCTAGCAATGGAGGAATACAACCTCCAAGCAGCACTTTTACTCGCAACTCATTTTCTTTACACAAAGAGCCTAAAACAGTGGCTGCCTGCATCTTTACCCCAAATGATCCAGATCGAAGTAGAGAAACGAGCACTGGAACTGCCTGAGAGTGTGACCCAACAGCACTAAAGGCATTATCTCGGGTATTAATAAGCTCCAACAATTGCATCAGCAGTGCCTCTTTTTCTTGCATGGAAGCAGAATTCTTACGCAATTTTTCAATCAACTGAGCAACACTTGCTAAAGTCCCATCTGGATCCTCCATGTTGCTGCGGTCTCTGTACATGTTTAACCAACAGAGGTTCTTATAGGTTTAAATACTCATAAAATACTAGGAACATGAGAACGGTACAATTTATTCAGTACGACGATTGCATAATTCTTCTACTACCACAAAAAAGTTGCACAAGGTTGATTGCGGAAACCTTTTTATGGCATGTTTGGTATGGAGAGAAAATATATGGCGGAGAGGAGTATTTATTCCATGAATCTGTATGACTGTATGTAAAGAATGTATTGGGATTGGGAATAAGGAAATAATTTATACTACTTTATTTGGTTGCCGAGAATAAAATTATTAGGAATTCTTATTCCAGTGCTCAATATTGCTTTGGAATGAAATGTGAGTAAGTTGTATAAAGACCAAAACGTACATAATTCTAGATAATAAAAAAAAGTTGTCAAACAAATTCTGCATGGGCATTTTAAAGCATATTTATTTTTCCCTCCTTATGCAGAAAAAAAATACCAACAGGATAACTATTACACACAAGTGTTTGGTTTGCTCTTTGTAATAGACAATGAAGATAATAATACATCCCATCAAGTCATCAACCAAACAAGTTGTTAATATCTTTTGTCACAAATTGAGTCTCAGCAAATTAAAACCTGCTAAGTGTTGAGATTACGAAGTGAATGAAAGAAATACTGGAATGAAATCATTCAAGTTATAACTTATAAGGTGTGTGTTTGAGTTTTCATACTACAATGTGGAAACACATATCTTTCACAAAAGCACAGAAATCAAAGTAGAACACACATGTTTCTCAATGCTATTATTTATCATTGTGGGATGTAAACGCATATGCTGTCATCAATTTGGAACACAGTGGTTACTCAATGAAATCCTATTGGTATATATCATAATCATACAAAGTAAATACATTACAATGCTTTTAGAGCTGAAAGCCTTAAACACCCCAGAAAAATATATACATCTTCCTACTTAAGGAAGGCGAGAAGCACAACCACACGAATAACCAGTCTAGAAAGTGGTTATACTCTAAGGCTCTACGAAATGAGAAGATACTCATCAAATAAGAGTGTGAAATTACCTTGAACCCATTAGCATGAGAGAATGCTGAGTTGAGGGTTCCAAACCATGATGTTTACTATCTCCATTTTTTTCCTGAGAGCAGATTCAACAAAAGACTGTGTCATCATGATTCGTGAGAATAACTTGGTGAAGGGAATGAGGATCATACCATACGAAAAATAAAAAAACAAATGGCAACAAGGATAAATTTTCTGGGTTTTAAACATATATTTAAAAAAAGAAATATTGTGACATCAGTCATGAATACCATAATCTTCCAAAACCATCAGCAATAGTATGTACATAAGAGCATTACATCTGATAGAAATTATGGTTTTGATGCCTCAAAAAAAATGCACATGATGATCATTTGTAATGCCTTGATTAGCTTGTCAAAATAGCCAGATTTTTTAATCCGCGATCTAGCAACATAAAGTTTTCCATAGCTCTCATGAAAATAAAATACTAACCTAAAGAAAATAAATTTTACAATGAAGTTGCAGGGCAGATGCAAATGAATTCTCATGTGGCTTCTTGCAAACACATTCGTAGATGCGAAGACAGACATCTATATATAAAAATGTAACTCAATGCACGGCCAGTTACAAAACTGACAGTCTGAGAATGAATTTGAAAGTACTTGCCATAAGAAGCCGAGTAGGGAAATTCTAAAGTACATGGCCAGATGCGTGGATTGGACCAGGGAACAGAGAATGGTAAGCAATCAAAATCCAGATCTCAAATGCAATAATTAAACAGTCCATTCGATAACAGTACAAGATTAATTGAAATGGTACCAGATCGTTACTGGGAAGGCCGCTGCCACTGCTGGCAGCATGCCTCCACGTCACTGTTGCAGCCAGTTTTCCTGTGATCCCAAGATCTCCACTTCAGATCCAGCCTCTAACACACAGTCAAACGCCAGAAGCTAACAGCAGGACGACTATAGAAAAACCATACCCATAACAGAAATGAGAAAAGATTTCAACAAACAATGAAATTCTGACGGCTTAGACTGCAAAGACCAGGCTTTAGAAGTCACCACCAGATCAACACCAAAGATTGCCAAAATGTAAAAATCCAGATTCGGTTTCACACTAAGTAGTTGAATTGGTAGAAAGCTTATGGTGTGAGTTGGGCTAGAAACAAGATCTCAAGGAAATGTGGAAGTTATTGAACACATTGCATTCACTGACGAAACAAACGAGACGCATGCATACCTGAGAATAGAGGCTTCCTGGAAATGAAGAATATTAAAGGCAAAGAAGAAAGAAAAGGCAGGAGTAGAATGTTCCTTGCTCTTCTTCTAGAGGGAGAAGCTGATTGGAAGAAGCATGAGGACTTCTCTGAGATTCCGGAGAGAGACAAATAAAGAGAACGATGAGTGATCAGTCTGACCACCGACAGCCGATCCAGACCACCGGCTAGCTGGGCTTTGACTCTGTTTTACCGACCTCAGCCGTGGGCATGGCTAGTTGGGGATTTGAGATTTCTCTAGCTACTACGATGAGGAATTTCTTTTTAGTAAAAAAAATGATAAAAACAACACAACTTAGATTGGATATTTAAACAAATTTGATGAAATTGTAAAAACGACATTGTTTCGAATTGAAACAACGTTGCTAAGGTATTGCTATAATCAAAACGAGAGATTTTGATTAGAAAGAACTAAACAATGTGGTCATATCTTGTTACACCGACTTAACCCTTAGACCTCACTTTCGAAGTGTAACATGTTCTTCAAACTTCTCCTACACTTTATCCGTTCTTTTATTCTTTTGGTGTTTGTTCATCTTCTTCTGATATTTTTGTATACAACATTGACAAGCAATAACGAACAAATTAAATATCTTTGTCGTTGTTAAGAGAGAAAGCTTCATTTGTTTGAGTCAAACATAGGAGCTCGAAAATGCCAAAAGGGTGCATGCGAATAATGAGGAGCACGCTCAAGTATTTTCTAACATAAGTCCACATCCTTCGCATTTTCGTGCAAAATTGAGTTCTTTAAATTTTGATTGACAATTAACTAAATTTCTTGTTAATTTATTATCGTATTTCTGAAGAAAATATTGATGAAGAAGCTTCCTTTGTTAGTTATAGCCAAAATGTGGAGAAAGGGGATGCACTTGGGACTTTTGAAATTGAGATACTAGTTTTTATGTTTGAAATGTTATTTCATACTTGATGTAGTCGAAAACTCCCATTTTGTTAAAAATTTATTCAGAGTATAAATATTTGTTACATGTGTTTGGTCCATGCTTATTTTTAGGCTAATGTAGTTGGTGAGTATATTAGACCGATCTAGTATGAGTTAAGAGGCCTAGTATACCATGTCGTGTTGTGATTTGTGAAGATATATGGAATTCGAAAATGGATTCAATCTCGAACAGCAATGATATAGGTTGGTGAAGCCCAACCCAAAAAGTGAGGTGGATGATCCAACTAAGAAGTGAATTGGCAACTATGTCAATTAGAACGTGGGAAGGAGTAGAGTCACGCCGCATGATTCCATCACTCATAATTCAAGAAAGTAGGAGGTGTGATGAGATAGTAAATTAGTTAATGTCACCCACTTATGCATACTCTTCCCTCCCATGCTAGTAAAATTATGTTCATAATTTCATATTGATAGTTTGAGTGCTAAATATCCTTGGCTCTGATTCAATTTATACTCGTAAGAGATAATCATGTGAGGAGTGATGTACAATTTTAATGGGTTGAAACCCATTATTTGTGTTTTAATTGAGAATCAAAGGAAGATCCTCAAGCGTGTTCATGGCAAGAAGATGATCAATGAACACTAACACAAACATGTCAGCAATGGCATCATGGGGGAGCCCATTCTTTTAGGGGATTTAACGAAGAATGTCTCGAGCGACAATCGACGAAAGAATCACCGATGGTGCACGTGGTGCCACGAGGAAATGTGGAGGCGGCTATGCTAAACATTATTGTTGCACTCTATTGCCCGATGCGAAAATTAGACAAGATCCACCCATGATTGTTACATTCCCTTTTGTGGTAGATCTTAATGCTCTTAGGCAGGTACTGGAGACACGACACTAATCATTACTACTACAGGTAAATGACGTTGGTTACAAGATGGAGCCTATCTAGACTGGGCAAGAGGCTCCCCGAGAGGCCGAGAACATTCAAAGTATAACACATTAGAAAAGAAAAGTTGTGGTCAACCACAATCGGGGATCGTGACAATATGAGAAGACAACAAGTTGGACTCAAAACCATGAATCCTGAAACCAACCCAGCCATGAAATGCAGAGGTCCCCTTAGAGAGGGGTTTTTGAAAGGCTCTTATCCAAAATTTCTAGTAAAGAATCAACTGGATTCGCATCTCTCAGCGCAAAGTCTATGAATCTCGAAGGTAATCTCAATATGGCACAAAGTGCGCAAAGGGACCAAGTCTCGTAGCACTAAGGGGGTCCAGAGACCAAGGCCCCATGAGAGAGTTACAGAAGTACTTGATGCCTAGTACTTGATGCCTGAAGCCATATGGGACCTCTAGCATCATATAGAGCATATGCAGCGGCAAATGGATGTGTTAAGGAAAAGACTATGAAGACTCGTACGTCAACTCCATTTATGGCGAGGGTGATGCAATCATCCCCAAGGCTTCAAGGTCCTACATATCCAAAGGCATTCCAGTGAAACAAACCGGCGAGAACATTTGAGTTGTTACTTTGCTAATAGGGTGGCGATGGGCACCACAAAGGAATTGAAAACCGGACATTTAAGTATTTTATGTTGTACATACTAAAAGAGTGCCCATTATAAAATTAATGTATAAAATTAATGGGGAAAAAATTAGTATATGGGCATTTATGAGTTATATAGTACGGACTACTCATTACATATTTAGATATATGTAAAAACACATACATCCCAATGAACTTCAACGAGTGAAAATAAATGGTGACATCTTATTCGCTCTCTTCATCACTATCTGCCAACTTCAAATGATTCATATTTTTCTCAAGTGGTGGAAGTCCATCATCAGAGTCGCTAGATGAATTTTCACCATTATCATGAGAATGTGCATCCTCTCCTGAAAAACAAAACAAGTTCATACAGTATTATCTTATGTTAGAGAGTGACTCTTAAACTCTTAATAGAGAGACCGTTCAATTGGACTTATTTTCACTACTTCAGTATCATTCAATTCAGTACTACCAAGTTCAAAATTATACTACAATCAGTTCAGTTCAATTCCCTGCCATTTAGATCAGTTCAATACCATTCTGCTCCATCAAATGGCCCCTTAGTAGCCACATTTTCAGTCAATATGGACTACTTACAGGTGTTTGGGTGTAACTGGTGTAAGGAATGCAAGATTATGTTTAAGTAACAGGATTACTGTCTATAGAGGAATCTGATATTACAAGAATATGGGATTAGTGATTCCCTACGTTGTTTTCGTGTTTCGTTAGCCAAATGTGGTACTACTCATGTTGTCGTGTTGTCAAATTACCAAGGAAAAATTCAAAATATTCTAAAATATTACCAAGCCAATCGTACAATACATAAGAAAATGAGGATAGTCATTTTGTTGTGGTAATAATGGGTTGTTTGAAAATAATGTTTATAATTAGTATGTAGTAGACGTGAGTAGGGGTAAGGGTAGACCTAGAAAGAGTTGGAAGAATTCATGATCTCGTCAAAGATATGAGCTTAGATAGGAACAAACAAGAGCTAGGATTAGATTAACTGTGTAGACTTTCATACCTTACTTTGTAGTTTTTTCTACTGTGTTTTTTGCCTTAGTTTGTATCATGTGCTTGTGTTAGATTAATTGTGTGCTTTCTGTGTTTTTCTGTGCATAGGGTATAATTGCTAGTGCCGGTACGTGTGCTTTTAGTGCTCGTTCTCTAACTTTTTCATGCTACTGTGTTTACTTCGTCTCGGCTTCTGCCTTCTGTGTTTGAATTGGGGGTCTAACAACCTCTCTACTTCCAAGTAGGGTGGGTTTGTGGTTGGTTCAGATTATCTTTTCAACCATTAAAGCTAATTCCAACGGACAGTCAAACACTATACCAGATTACCTAAACCATACAAGATTCTGTTACATTACCTTGCTTACATCAGTTGTGTAATATTGTCACATTTTGCAAACCAAACACCCCCTTAAGTCTTAGCTATAAATTGATATCAACTAGAAAGAATAATGGAGCATTAGTTACCATCTGGCTGTTCCAGAGCTTGTGGAACCCGTGAGCTTTCCCTGGAGAGCCATTCATTTTGGGTTGAAATGATATCAGCACTGGTCTTGCATTCGGAGTATGCCTTCAAAAGTTCTCTGCAATGATGAAATTTCACAACAGTCTTACTCAAATAGTTCAAAGAGTGTCTCTTGCACCTCATTTCTTCATTCAAAAAATGGAAAACAGTGTAATACGGAGTGGATTTTACCGTAAGATAGAAAATATATGGCATATAATAAATATATATGGCACATCCTTGTGGTTTCCAAGTCACGTCAATGAAGTTGTAAAATTACAGAGTATATGAGAAACAGGATTTTCTCTAAAATTCTTTGCACGAAAAGATGTTGTAGCTCGAAAGCCACATTTCTCAAAGATCTTAAAAGTCACAACAATCAAATGATGCTTTCAAACCGCAAATACCCAACTTTTAACAAATTTATTGGTTACTATTTAGGTTACTAAAAGCTGTTCCACGGCACCTTAATACCAAACATCTAGACTTTCATTGCACTCTATATAAAGATATTACCATTACCAAACAACATTTTTCACAGCACAGATCCATGCTAATCATTTAGAGCTCAGCACTCTATAACAAATTAACAATGATACCAAATTTGTTTTATATTGGACAAAATGAAAGAATGCCCTCTCAGCTTGAAAAACAAAGAGTAAGTAGTAATGAAAGGATTTTGTGCACCTTTCAAGATGTTAAATTACTGAAGGAAATTCTTTATACGCAAATTAAACAGAGCAATAACATCATTAGTTGCATACCTCTCACCACTCATTTTTCTTTGTTCTTCTCATATATATTTATCGCCGGTCTAGTATTTTGTATCTATCGCAGAATTCTATAACGTGAAAGATACGGATGAAGCTCCTAAAAGAAAGCACAATACACCTGTTGAGGGACAAGAAAGCATGGCCCCATTTGAACTTGTTCAGCAGTAAATATGCACTTTCCTCTTCCCCACTAAAAGGCATAAAAGAAATGCACAGATGACATAAATTTTGTTAGGATATAAAAATTAGCTTTTGTCAAACCTTTAGAGTCCATTTGAAACCTGTAAAATGCTAAGAAATAAGAAAGAAAACAGAGCGGGAGATTTGGAACAAAAGGAAAATTTATTGAAAATAAAATAAATCAGTCCAAACTCAATAAATTTACTATAGATATTTGTTCAAACACATTTCATTTACAAATTTCGATAATAAAAAAACTTAAAATATAAAATCTGCAAAAGCTCCAGTCAAATTGTTTTCCTTTTGCCTTTTATCAAGGTAAACCAAACATTAATAAAACATACGCAAGTTAAGTCCTTAAAATGACCCCTTTATCCCTAAATAAACTTTATCTTTGCTTTTATAGCCCGTAGTTTAAGAAAGTTGAGTTGTATGGTTGAAATGTGTAAAGATTAAACTGAAAAATCGCATATTATTTTCCTTTAAAGGAAAGGTGATCTACGGATCTACCCGTCAGTTATATCGTCAATCTTGTACACTAAGCATTAAAATTAAATAAAGACTTTGGCCCCCCAAACAGAGTCATGTTCACATTTTGTCCATAAAAGAAATAACTTTGATCAAATGAATCTAATTCAAAATCTGCCAAAAAAAATGAAGATGTAAGATTCATGATATAAGGCATTTGTACCTTGCCAGAACTTAAAAGTTCCAACTTGGTCATACATGATTTTTTTCTGATGGAGATAGTATTACTTTTGCAATAAACAAAAGAGTAGATACCAGATAATTAAACCAGCAGCTAAAGCCTCAACACAAGAGAGCTGACAAGGTCGACCGTAATTTATTGGATTTGCTGCTACCAACCATGGCACTGCAGTTCACATAGGGATTTTAAAGTTAGGAAACTCATGAAGGCCTAAAATTTAAAAAAAAAATCCTAGTTAGTTTAAGTTGAAGGCCAGGTTAAAGGAGGAAACACATAATAAATTTAAGTACATACAAAGACGAGGTGCAGGACACCGTAGCTTTGCAAAAGGTACATCATCCAATCGTGCCCATGAACAATCCACAACTACCAACCCCTTTCGTTCAATTAAATCATGATCCTCTCTCGAGATGCAATGTGATCCAGCAGGACTGAAAAACAAACGACACCAATAATTGAATCAACAACAACAACAGCCCAATTGAATCCCACAAGAGTAGGGTCTGGGAAGGGTGTATACGCAGACCTTACCCCTACTCAAAGGTAGAGAGGCTGTTTCCAAAGAGACCCCCGGCTCAAGCACCACAAGTAATCATGTACGCAGTCTCACCCTATGTTTAAAACATAGAGCGGTTGTTTAAAGAGCCATTTTAAAGAAGCACATACAGTTTAAAGAGTCATTTTGCTTTATTCCGACATACCACAAAGCCAAAAGAGAGACAAACATCCAAAGTGTGCACACGAGTACATACGCAGATATTATGACTTGAAGGTATGTAACATGGGCGAATGTGCATTACGATTAAAGGAATCAAGGGCATTAAACTAAATTAGTATTTTTGCTGGTGGTGGTGGGGTTGATCAATTGCTGACAGTATGGCTTGATTAAATGAAAGATCATAGCCGGTTTTTAAATATGCAATGTGTGCCTTGATGTGATTTGCATAGAGTAAACCACAAGAAAAGCTCGACTACATAGACACTTTCTATAAAGACCCACATAAAACACCCACTATATTTATGAGCAATCACTTAAGGAACTCAAGATATAATACAAGATTATTCACGTCAGGAGGTTGACATTCAATTCTTACCTTAAAGCAATGCCACCAAAGGCACTGTTAACCCTCAACTCCTGCAAATACAAAATAAAAATTAGAATCTCTTAATAATATATGTGTGTCCATCAAACAAAAGTTTAGACCTAATTATAGCTACATAAAAAAAGGTATGACAATCAATAGTTTCATGGGAATTGCTCACTACTGGCAATAGTAAACCGGATTTGAAACATTTAACATCAATGCATCAAAAGAAGAGAGATACTTTCTTTCAACAAACCAAATCGTGCAAGCTTGCGTCCAGTGCATCTTTTTGCGTCGCACTGACCAAAATCCTGAACCAAAAAGATACACTATGCAATATTAGGAATCAAATGTATGCATGCCACTCATTGTTGAATCAGGTAATTAGTAGTCATTTCTTGTGTGATAGAATCTGAACATGGAATGAACTGGAAACATTGTTGAATAATTCGTACAAATTTCAAGCTTTCTAAGGGCAGAAACCTCATTGATGCGACATAAAAGCCTCACACAAAATCACATCAAGGGTGTTCAATGAATAGCGTTTTGATCAAAGTTATGTAATTTATTTTAGCATTTTGACCCAAAATGTCATTTTTACTTGCCATTTGCCAAAATGCTAAATGAGGTGTTTTGTAAATGACCATTTTACATTTAAAATGCTGATATGATCAGCATTTTAAAAACAACATTTTCACGCTGTCTTTTAGGTTATAGTTTTTAGCATTATGCTAACTTACAAAACATTTTTTACAACTTGCTTAGTTCTAGTCAAACTTGCTAAACAAAACCGCTAAAATGCTACTAACTCAGAAGCCTCTGTGGTTTTGACTTTTTTCAGTCATAATTGATAAAATTTGACCATTTATTAAATAAAATTTATATTAGATATTAATACAAGAATAATTTTATTAGATTTATTTTATAATATATTTTCAAAATATTTCTTTATCTAATTAATAAAGCATATAATTTTTATTTAATTCTGAGTCAAAGGTCGACGTGGGTGGACTACAAATATCAAAACTGACAAATACTCTGGGACGTAGGGATAATTGATATCTTTTATTTGGAGTGGGTGACTTACCCTCTTGATTGTATTTGAGATGTTTGATGCATAAGTAATGCAAAGTTCTTTTTGAACAAAAAAATTGCTAAATGCTACTTCCTCCGTCCCTGAAACATCTTCCTTTATTGACTTTTTTAAAATTTAAGGGGGGATATTTTTGTGTTGACTTTCCAAATATACCCTTGATATGATGGATAAAAGTAAGATGTGTACGTATTAGTCAAAATCTATGATGTGATGGGTAGGACATGGAAAAGTAAGAGGTAAAAATGATTTTTTAATAGATGGAACATCTTTTGGAGACAACAAAAAAATGGAGACAACAAAAAAATGAAAGGGGAAGATCTTTTAGGACTTTAGGAACGGAGGGAGTATTTGCCAAACACACCCACCCATCATGTGAAATGTCACATAAACTACAAAGCCAAAGCATAAGTGGCATACCCACATAGCAAGATGAACACTAGGCAGTGGTTTTTCATCGTCTTCACCTGAACCAACGGGTAGTGACTCTTCATTACTGGAAACAAAAGGAAGAAAGCAGACAGCTTAGCAAGATCCAACTCCGGCAAAGACAGAAATATGGCACAGTGAAATAAAATACATAGCGGGATTGATGAACCTGAGCGGATAATTTGGTTCATAAGGGCGGCTGGATTGCCCGCGATGGTTCTTGAATCGCCTCTGCTTGCTGTTACCCATTCTCCGTCAGCTCAGCACGCACGACTTTAGAAGGTTTCGTTGCAATTAATTCCGCGAGGGTTTGTGGCAATGTTTTGAAAACCCCACAGGACGTCGAACGGGCAAAGAGAGTGGGTTGAACCGGGTTGAACTGGTCAACGACCCGGTCAACGAACCCTATAATAACTATTTCTTCAAAAGTTTTATATACTCCGCATGACTTACCGTTTCAAACTTATATCTAGTTGGTTAAAATATGAAAAAAATAAAGTAAAGATATATTGTAGCATATTTATTTGCAATTAATAAATACTCCGTATTATTTAATTTTTAATAATGATAATAGTTTTTAGATGAATTATTCATATTTATATTTACATAAAAAATCTTCTGTAGTTTAAATTATTTTTAAAGTTCGTAAAGGAAATTTAAATTACATAAGTTTGACTTTCTTTCTTAAAAAATTGAAGGTTTTTTCAAATAATTAGTATGGACAAGGCCCATATATTAAAGGTAGTATATAAAAAACTGTACATGGAATAAACCAAAAGTTGAATTGCGTAGCTGGTCCTTCAATGCCGGAGTGGACGTGCGTGCCTGGGTTCGATTCTCCTTCAGGCCATTAAATTTTTAACTAAAATATGGGAAAAGCTTCAGACCCGTGAACCGTATGGGTCGATCCGGGTCGAGCGGGTCATACGGGTTTTTCTGATTTTTAATAAAACTGGGTTCAAGACTAAACCGGACCGGACAAACAGCTAGGTCGCGTTCGGACCGGGTGGACCGGCCCGGTCCGAGCTTAAAAACATTGGTTTGTGGCTTGGTAGGAAAAGGGCTAGAGTTGAATGTGGCAAATTATACAATGGTCGATGTTGTTTTTTTGAATTTTAAAAGTCAGTCAATTCAGATTTTAAAAAATCATTTAAAATCTTGAGAGCAGGGTAGCATAACATGAAGAAACAACAGCAAGAACATCAAATTCAAAAAGACCCCATAAAGTGGGATCTAGAAAATGTGTGTACACAAATCTTACCCCTACGTGGGGCGAAGAGAGGTTGTTTCCAAGAGACCGAGTACCACACCATTGAAAACAGAAAATGATTCATGTCCTACATCATTATACTTCAATTAATCTAGTCCCAATCATAACAATCATCTAACCCGAGAAGTCAGGGGTTAACGATTAAAAAAATAAGAACATGTGTGAATATGAGATAGCGCAGGTATTATACACCTAAAGCTTCCCAATGAAAGTATAACCAAATTAGTATGTAACTCTAAGGGAGAATAGTCAACAAACATATCTATGAATCCTTTTGTTAAGCAAGAAACTGGAGTACATTTAGTTCCTTTGAACAGAGCCAGATATTAAGACGTTATACAGAAGCTATGTTTAGGGAAATTACTTTATATATTATAATGCATTTTGTTTGACAGTTTTCACGCCAAAGACTGAAGTACTTCAGAGCTACAATAAAAGTATGTCATTTTTTATGATTTGCTTTTAGTTTTTGTTGTTTTCTTTTAAAATGTATAGTGGGAGGAGGGTTTGAGCAGCAGTGCGAAAGACTAACTACAGTATAGCAAATGCCTACAACTATTTTTGAAGTTCCCAAATCCCAATAAGAAATATATCCCCGTCCAAAGAATGGAGGGGTGAAAACAGCTCAGCTCTCTTCATAAATTGAACTAAATTTGTTCCCATATGATTTACAGAGTAATCTGCACCACCAATGAGCTTGAAATGTTCATTTGCCTACGCAATAAAGAAAATCTGACAAGAAATTGCAGAATTATTAAATGTAATGAATAAACCAACAAAAAAAATCCAAGCATTTTAATAAATAATCCTAACATCTGAAGAAGAAGAAGACAGCCGACAAACACATACTTAACTGAAACGTCAAAAAACGATATGAATAGTGGTGTTCNGCTCTCTTCATAAATTGAACTAAATTTGTTCCCATATGATTTACAGAGTAATCTGCACCACCAATGAGCTTGAAATGTTCATTTGCCTACGCAATAAAGAAAATCTGACAAGAAATTGCAGAATTATTAAATGTAATGAATAAACCAACAAAAAAAATCCAAGCATTTTAATAAATAATCCTAACATCTGAAGAAGAAGAAGACAGCCGACAAACACATACTTAACTGAAACGTCAAAAAACGATATGAATAGTGGTGTTCCATACAAATCTTCGAAAAAATAGGGCAAACAAAAGATCATTCGAGTAAAGTTTCAGATTTGGAATTCCGACCATCTAAAAATTCATTCATTAATGATAAGCAAGCTCGACTAGTGGTAAATGCGTTTCATAACGGGACAACTAAAACAAACACATTTTTGATCGTGAACATTCCATGCGATTCGAAGTTGAAGCATCGAAGGCAGAAAGTTTGAGCGTAGAAAGGAGTGATACCTGAGGATGGATTTACGAAAGAACGGCGAAGGAGGCTGCCGGAGCCGAAGGGAAAGAGAAAGGCTGTGAATTCTTGAAAGGGGCTTACCCTCGTAGGTAGGCGTCAGACGAGTTGGAGTTTGGGCTCTACTCCAGGCGTAGAATGTGAAGCTCGACCCATTATTAGGCCGTTAGTTTACAAAATGTGGTAATAACCAATAGAATGATGCTTGGGCACTCTTCTTTTGTTTGGTATTTTACACTTGGATGTTGGAAGAAATTACAATGACTTGGAAAAAATTGAAATGAGTTAGAAAGAACTGGAAAAAGTTAAAAATATTAGAAAGTTTAAAGTGTTAAAAGATACTCAATTAAATGATTATCTAAATAAATACATAAGAAAATTATAATTTTGGATGAAAAAAAGAATTCATCCTTATCTGTGTTTGAGGTAGTATATTATAAATTGGGAGAAGTAATGTCATAGCACTAATATATGCTTAAAATACTCAGTATATCACTGCTTTGTGGTATTGAAACTCGTGCAGATACAATTCTAAATTTGTCCTAGAATTCCACACTACAAAAATTGTGTTTAAGTTGGTATACACTTCTAGAACATGTGCATAACACACTGTCATCATACCCAATATAAGTGTTATGCCCATGTTCTAGAAGTGTATACCAACTTAAACACATTTTTTTGCGGTGTGGAATGCTAGGGCAAATTTAGAATTGTATCTGCACGAGTTTCAATATCACAAAGCAGTGATATACTGCGTATTTTAAGCATATATTAGTGCTATGACATTACTTCTCCCAATTTATAATATACCACCTCAAACACAGAAAAGGATGAATTCTTTTTTCTTCCAAAATTATAATTTTCTTATGTATTTATTTAGATGATCATTTAATTGAGTATCTTTTAACACTTTAAACTTTCTAATATTTTTAACTTTTTCCAGTTCTTTCTACTCGTTTCAATTTTTTCCAAGTCATTGTAATTTCTAGGGTTGAGCGTGGTACGATATTTAGCTCGTATCGGTACCGTACCAAATATTTCGGTTCGGTATGGGATTTTACGTTGTACCGATCCCGATCCCAAAGCATCGGTTCGGAATGGTTCGGGATGGTTCGGTATCTGTTTCGGTACGAATCGGGATTAATATATACGTACCTAGTTTAAATCATAAAATGTAACAAAACTTTTTAATTTTAAAAAATTGAAAGTACATTTAACCAAAGAAAGATAAAAAAAATTTAAAAAATGAAAAAATAAAATGCAAGAAATGCTTATGAAAGTTAGTTTATATTTCACAAACTAAAGAGAACGAGTGATAACAAAGTATTATTTCAAATATTTGTTACTCCGTAATATTCTTATAGTCATCTACAAAAAATAAAAAAAACTCTTATTAAAGTGCAACTTAAACATAATGAATTTAAACTAAATTGTCTATAAAAAATTTTATTTAATGAAGAAATATAAAAAGATTATTATTTTTATACTCCGAAATATATTAGTATATATGTTCGGTTCGGGAATTTCGGTATGGGAAGTAACCTCGTACCGTTCCCAAATACCGGACCGACCGTTCGGTACGGTACGGTTCGGTTTCTTTTCGGTACTTTATCAGTTCGGTATTTTTTGGTTCAATATTCTCGGTTTTTTCGGGAAATATCGGGATCGGTTCGGCCCTTGCTCACCCCTAGTAATTTCTTCCAACATCCAAGTGTAAAATACCAAACAAAAGAAGAGTGCCCAAGCATCATTCTATTGGTTATTACCACATTTTGTAAACTAACGGCGTAATAATGGGCCGAGCTTCACATTCTACGCCTGGAGTAGAACCCAAACTCCAACTGGTCTGACGCCTAGGGGTGAGCAACTTAACCGAATCGACCGTTTAACCAATACAATTTAACCGAATCAACCGCAATTTTAAATTCGGTTTCGGTTTTCGGTTTTAATGTCAAAAATTTTCGGTTAATTCGGTTATCGGTTTCGGTTTCGGTTTTGGACAATGTTAACCGACCGAATAACCGAGCCCATAATGTGCATTAATTATTAAACATAAGCCTGGACCAAATCTTTTAGACTTTAGTTATAGCCAACATAAAAAAGCCCAATTCCCAGCCCTCCTTCTCCCAACCCAATTCCCAACCCGCCTCCTAAGTCCCAAGTCGGCACTCGGCAAAACGTCCCAAATCCCAACCCTACTGTGTCGTTCTCGCCTTCTTGGTCCTCACCAATCGGCAATCACCATCTCCCATTCTCCCCGTTCCTGCGTTCTCAAACCGGCGCCATTCACGCCAAGATCTAATCGGCAATCACCATCTCTGTTCCGGCGTTACCAATCGGCAATCACCAGGTTTGTTCATTCTTTTTTGTTGCTAATTATTATTCTTTTAGATGCATTACTACCCAAGGGCCATGGCCGACGATCATCACAGCTCGTTGCCGCATCAGTATGGAGCTTGTCGTCATCCCCATTCCCGAGCAGCAGCAGCAACAATCCCAAGGAGCTGTTAATATTATAGTCTTTAATTTGTTAGATGGTGATTGATTTAAGTGTGTAATTTGAGGAAAAAAACCCAGACATGTTTGATCCATGTTTTATGTTTAAGCCTTTTATGTTTGTGGACAGGTTTTTTTTGCTATTACTTAAAAATTTTGAGAAATGCTTCATATATGCAGTAGGCAGTAGGTTTTTAGATTGAAAAATTTGGTTTTTTCAAACCGACCTAACCCGATCGGTTTTTACTCGGTTCGGTTTGTTCGGTTCTCGCTTTAATTCGGTTTGGTTCGGTCGGTTATTTTGAGTACTTTTAATTTTCGGTTTTTTCGGTTTTGGGCCGAAACCGGCCGAACCGAACCGATGCTCACCCCTACTGACGCCTACCTACGAGGGTAAGCCCCTTTCAAGAATTCACAGCCTTTCTCTTTCCCTTCGGCTCCGGCAGCCTCCTTCGCCGTTCTTTCGTAAATCCATCCTCAGGTATCACTCCTTTCTACGCTCAAACTTTCTGCCTTCGATGCTTCAACTTCGAATCGCATGGAATGTTCACGATAAAAAATGTGTTTGTTTTAGTTGTCCCGTTATGAAACACATTTACCACTAGTCGAGCTTGCTTATCATTAATGAATGAATTTTTAGATGGTCGGAATTCCAAATCTGAAACTTTACTCGAACAATCTTTTGTTTGCCCTATTTTTTCGAAGATTTGTATGGAACACCACTATTCATATCGTTTTTTGACGTTTCAGTTAAGTATGTGTTTGTCGGCTGTCTTCTTCTTCTTCAGATGTTAGGATTATTTATTAAAATGCTTGGATTTTTTTTGTTGGTTTATTCATTACATTTAATAATTCTGCAATTTCTTGTCAGATTTTCTTTATTGCGTAGGCAAATGAACATTTCAAGCTCATTGGTGGTGCAGATTACTCTGTAAATCATATGGGAACAAATTTAGTTCAATTTATGAAGAGAGCNGAACACCACTATTCATATCGTTTTTTGACGTTTCAGTTAAGTATGTGTTTGTCGGCTGTCTTCTTCTTCTTCAGATGTTAGGATTATTTATTAAAATGCTTGGATTTTTTTTGTTGGTTTATTCATTACATTTAATAATTCTGCAATTTCTTGTCAGATTTTCTTTATTGCGTAGGCAAATGAACATTTCAAGCTCATTGGTGGTGCAGATTACTCTGTAAATCATATGGGAACAAATTTAGTTCAATTTATGAAGAGAGCATGAGCTGTTTTCACCCCTCCATTCTTTGGACGGGGATATATTTCTTATTGGGATTTGGGAACTTCAAAAATAGTTGTAGGCATTTGCTATACTGTAGTTAGTCTTTCGCACTGCTGCTCAAACCCTCCTCCCACTATACATTTTAAAAGAAAACAACAAAAACTAAAAGCAAATCATAAAAAATGACATACTTTTATTGTAGCTCTGAAGTACTTCAGTCTTTGGCGTGAAAACTGTCAAACAAAATGCATTATAATATATAAAGTAATTTCCCTAAACATAGCTTCTGTATAACGTCTTAATATCTGGCTCTGTTCAAAGGAACTAAATGTACTCCAGTTTCTTGCTTAACAAAAGGATTCATAGATATGTTTGTTGACTATTCTCCCTTAGAGTTACATACTAATTTGGTTATACTTTCATTGGGAAGCTTTAGGTGTATAATACCTGCGCTATCTCATATTCACACATGTTCTTATTTTTTTAATCTTTAACCCCTGACTTCTCGGGTTAGATGATTGTTATGATTGGGACTAGATTAATTGAAGTATAATGATGTAGGACATGAATCATTTTCTGTTTTCAATGGTGTGGTACTCGGTCTCTTGGAAACAACCTCTCTTCGCCCCACGTAGGGGTAAGATTTGTGTACACACATTTTCTAGATCCCACTTTATGGGGTCTTTTTGAATTTGCTGTTCTTGCTGTTGTTTCTTCATGTTATGCTACCCTGCTCTCAAGAATTTGGAGGCAAGAAGGGTGATAACTATAATTTATCCTCTCACATCAATTCTTTAATTTAAAATAGAGTTGTTACTCACGGAAGATAAACATTTATTCTGATTTTATTTTCAATTATGCTATCTTACCACTTGCAAATGCACTAAACCTGTTCTATGCTACTTCACAGTTTTTTTAACTCTCTGCAATATCTCAACAGCTTTTTTTGGTTTGCTAGTTTCAGGATGTCTGACTTCATTCTTGTCTGTATAGGGTCTAATTTAGAGCTTTAGCTCCTGGTTTTGAACAAACCAATGTCGTCTCCGTTTCCTATTTTGGACAATAAACCAATTGATCAGTGGAAAGTCACTGAGCTAAAGGAAGAGCTTAAGAGGCGCAAGTTAATAACAAAAGGGTTGAAGGAGGAATTGGTGAAGCGGTTGGATGAAGCAATTCGCAGTGAACAGGAAAGCACACAAGGAAATACTGGTGATGGCTTTGAGTCTGCACATGATCTTTCACTTGGACCTGGTCAAGAAAGGACTGATTTATCTGATGCTGACAAGGAGGAGGACACTTCCATTGCTTTTGATTCTATAGGTAAACTGGAAAGTGGAGCTTGTCATGCTGAAGTTAATAGGGCGGATTCATTTGACGTTTATAAGGAGAATGATACTTCCATCCATTGTGATTCCATAGGAGATAATAGGGAAAGTGAAGTGCGTAAAGTTAATGAAAAGGATAAGGATGCTTCCATCACTTGTGATCTAGCAGGTGATAAACAGGAAAGTGAACTGTGTGAAGGTGCTGTTGATGGAAATCAAACATCATCTATCCCTGCACATGAGGAGGATGTCTCTATCTCTTGTGATCTGATAGATGGTAAAATAGAAATTGAAGACTGTAAAGTTGATGTGACTGGCAGCAGAAAGTCATTTCATGAGGAGTGTGGTTCTACAGCTGATTATGGACAAGAAAAAACCCAGTTATCTGATGCTAATAAGGAGGGGGCTTCAGTACGTGATAAAATGGAAAGTGAAGGGTGTGAGGTTGGTGTTATCGAGTCAATGGTTGTATCTGGACATGAAAGGAGTCAATTAATGGATGCGAATAAGCTAAAGGATGCTTCTGTTGCTTTTGATTCCATAAATGAAAAAGTAGAAAGTGAAATGTGTGACATTAGTTCTAGTAACAACATGATTCGATCTGATGCTGGTAAAGTTGTTGAAGGAGAAACATTTCATTCGATTGGTGTTGTAGGACCGCTTAATAGTTTGGAAACCAATGTCGTGGTTGGTGAGGCTGTTGATCCTGTAATGACTTTGGATGACCTTGATTTGGAAAATCAGGGAACCCAAAGTGAACAGAATTCAAAAGCAGAACTCCAAATTCCAAGTTCAAGGTCTCCCGATGTGGATGCTAGAATTGAAGTATCTGAGGTATGCCCTGTTTCGGAGTCTTATGTAAACACTGAATCTGCTAGTATTGATATCACAATTAGTGGAAAAGTAGAAACAATGAATAATGTATTTAGTGATGTCGAACTAGAAGTGGATGCTAAACCTGTGGTCGTGCATCTACCATCTAGCAGTATTGTTCCTGACAGTGAATCCTGTCCCATGGATGTTGAAGAGGCACAAGACAACAATTTATCTGTAGTGCAAGGTGGTGCTGATAAGATAAAATATCTTAAAGATTCAGGACATTCTGTAACGTTGCATTTAGGGCAAAAGGTTGGTGATGATCCCATTGAAGAAAATATGTCTGAGAACAAACATGTTGATGCTAAGTTGGGCACTGAGAAAAAAGTAGACAGTGCAGAAACGACAAGTGGAAAGATGTTAAGTCCTGATGTTGGGAAGAATCATATAGATGCACATGGGAAGGTTGCCCCTATTGAAACCCGAAGCGAAGAAGCTTTGCAATCTGCAAAAAGGAAAACCCATGGTAATTGATTTCCTAATTCTATCATATTATTTGTTTGGTAATTTATGAGGATATGTTTCTTGCATTTTTTCATTTATCTGTCATTTTGTAATGATTATATGTACTAAACTAGTTTCTGATGTTGTAGTGCATTTGGAAAAGTTAAGCAATATTTACTGGCTTTACTTTCCACTTTCCACACGTATGGAAGCAAGAAGTTTGGTCTCTTTTTGCTTTTGGTTATGTATTATGCACCCTGTGCTTCTGAAGTTCCTTCAAGCCATCTTTGTTTCTGGTTGAGTCATATGTTTTGTATTTTAGGTCCTTGTTTTGCACATTTCTTATTGAGCTTATTTGCCCCAACGTTCTGCTAGTGCGCCAAATGCTAAATATTTAAAATGGATTTTTGAGTTCTAGATAAACATATATGCTGGAAAGCCCTTTTTTTCAAAAAGCTGTAAAGTTGTTTCAAAGTACCTATGAGTTCCCAGTACCATAGTGTTTTATTAATATTAATCATCTACCTGAAATTTCATCAATTTGTTACGCTTACTTTAACAAATTCTCCCGTTAGATGTTATGGAAAGTTGTGAACTCAATTTGAATATTTTATTTAAGTGTTCTGATGTGGTACTTCCACAACATACTCCATCTGTTCCGAAACTTTCTTCTCATGTTGACTTGGAACTCTTATTTAGAAAATGAAATTCTGTTGTTGATATTTATTTTGAAAGCTTAGAAACAATATTAACTGCAGAAATCATCCTTCATGAGAAATTAGAACATTGAAACAACCCAGAAAGGTTGATGAGAAGAAAATATTAGGACAGATGAAGTACTCCGTGATATTTTGGCATGCCACGTTTTCTTTGTTTTAGAAATATAAATACCTTTTAAAAGGTAGGTGAGCCTCATTTTCCTCTTTCCTTGTTTTGCTCCCTCGAGTGCAAGAATATCTTCTCATTTTCATCTGAGCAGAGTTATATATCCTAGGTTTAGACAAAGATGACACATTATGCTTATGAATAGATCTTTAGATCCATGAATAAAGCTCAGTTTCTCCCTGAAAAAGGAAATGAAAATGGATTGAGAATGGAACTCATCTAGTCCCGAAGTGCTAATTGCACAATATCTCCCTCCAACTCCACCTTCAGCCCCTCTAACTTGAATTGGGTCCCCCCCCCCAAGATTATTAAGTGCATTTGGAAGTGCTGATAGTGATGGGTGCACAACCCAATCTGTGGAATGCAAGACCGATGCAATAAATAACAAGCCTCTGTCTGATTTATCCTTTTTTATTTATTTAGAAAAACCAGTTCAACATGACATATCAAAATTTTATGATATTGGTGTTCTACACCATCAGATATAGAGAGACAATAAATTAATATGCTGTGCACACTTATACCTTGTCTGCATCGTTATTCAGAGCCCATGGGTCAAACTGATCAAAATTTGAGTAGAAAGAAGTTAAGAGATTAAATTGAGCACAGTACCTTGTTGGTGCGTAATCTAAGTCATTGCTTTGAAGAAAAACTTATTCAAGGAGCTCCTTCTGAACTAAATATGCCTTTGGTGTTAGAACATGATAGAGATGAAAATGCAAGTGCAAACAGATTTGCAGCTTTTCCATACAAAAAAGCCATGTTTTCACTGGAATTCTGACTGTTCAAACTGATACTTGTGTTCTTGAAAACATAGTCGTACTGAAAAAGTTGTGCAGACATTATTGTCAAATTCAAATTGCTTGTCTATTCCACATACCAACCAATTGTTGAGAAGTGAGTTTTTTTGAATGTGTTGAATAAAGCTATTATTCTCCTTTGTCTAAATGTGAAGTAATTTAATGGTGCAGCAGGTGATGAAGCAGTGGAGAGCAAAGTCTCTGTGAAGAGGCAACGTAGGTGGAATTCAGAAAGTATTGAAAGCACACAAAATCAAAGTGGAACTAGTGTTGCATCTACCACACCCAAAAGTGCAACTCAAGCTACTTTCAAACGGAGTTTGTCTATGCCTAATTCGGTGGCTAGTGAAGAGCCATCAAAGGAACGTGTGGGTAAGTTGCCTTTTATATTTTGCACTATATAGACCTTTTCTTGATGCTGTGCAAATTTTTAGCATTCATCTCTCTGTTGCTTCGTTGCTTATGGCAGTTCCACCATCACCAAAGCCTGCTACAAATTCTCTCAGAATTGATCGTTTTGTGCGTCCTTTTACATTGAAAGCTGTTCAAGACCTACTTGGGAAAACTGGTACAGTAACAAGTTTCTGGATGGACAACATAAAAACTCACTGTTATGTGTCGGTAAGCCTCTCTCCATTTCTTCAGTTTTCTGTAATGCAATATATTCCCTGTCAAAATAAGACTTACATTAGGAAATGGCCCAAAAAAAAGTGGCATACGTATGATAAATTTGGTTAAACCATCATCTTTTTAAAGAAATGCATTTATCATTCATGATAAATGATAGTTGTTCCTGACACTTTTTATTGATTACATGAGCAGTGGATTCAAAATTATGATGAATCTGCTGTGTTGTGTATGAATGTGGTATAATCAGTGATTCGTTTATTACAGTTTCCTTGAGATGGGAGTAGTTAACTTTTTTAATTTATTGCATTGCATCTGCAGTATTCATCTGTCGAAGAAGCAAATGATACTAGAAATGCTTTGTACAATCTGCAATGGCCTACAAACGGAGGACGCTTACTGGTAGCTGAGTTTGTTGACCCATTGGAAGTGAAAATGCACGTGGAGGGCCCACCTAAACTTCCACCCCCACCACCATTAAGTATGGGAGGGCCTTCCTTGGCTGTTGCTGCTCTTCCTCCTCCACCAATCACACAACAACAACCTTCATTGAGGCAACAGATTCAGAAAAAACAGCTTCAGCCCTTACCTCCTCCTCCACCTCTTCCCCTTCCTCCGTCTCTTCCACTCCCACCACCACCACCACCATTGTTTAATCCACCCTCAGTTAAAGAGCGATACCCTCTGCCACCACTCCCGCCGCCGCCTCCACTTACTGAGAAAGTTGACCCTCCAACTGTAACATTGGATGATCTCTTCAGGAAGACAAAAGCAACGCCTCGTATTTACTACCTACCTTTGACGGACGAACAAGTTGAAGCGAAGCTCAAAGCGGCAAAAGGGAAGGGGGATACTAAGCAGTAGGGATTAGGCTCTTTACTCATTGCCAAAAAAAGCTCATCCTCTTCTATTTCTAAATGGATTGGTCTCATTACTACACGCGTAAGATAAAATGGTAAGACATTGTCATATTATTGAATCTTTGCAGGTGTGTGCAGGTCTTGCGTATAGGCTCTTCCAGTTATGGTGCAGGAGACGCTGGTTCGAAGATGGGTTTGTTGGGTTTTCCAAGACCGTTTTGGTTTCAGATTGAATTATATCTTGTGCAACTTAATGCTTCTTCTCTGCCTAAGCAGATTTCTTTGTTTGAATTTGTACTGCTAGAATCTGATTTCTTGATGAGCTCTATTTCCAACAATCTGAAACTTGCGTGCACTTCAGGATGTAGACTTGTGACAGTGAACTTAAATTCTTGTTTGCCATTTTATATTAGTAACCAAGCTGCTATGGATAGATTTATGAGTGGGTAGCAATATAAATGTTACTCCGTATGAAGTAAAATTTTTTGACTAAAATTATTTTCAATTCAATTTATATAAAAAATTGTTATCGATTTTAAAAATAAAATTTGTATATTCAAAAATTACTTTTAAAATTATATAAAACAAGAGGTAGTATGATTATATTATTTTATCAAACAAGTACTCTCTCCGTCCGAAAATATTCTTCCCATTTGATTTTTCTTGGTCAAAGTTTGTAAATTTTGACTATGATATGTGGAAAAAATACATTGTATTACGATATAACTTTAATATGAACATATTCATTTTGAAATATAGTTTTAAAATATCAAATTTTTATAAAATATATTCATGCTAAAGTAAAGATATGTAAAGATATTAGTGGTCAAAGTGCAATCTTGGAGACCGTAAAAAGTCAAATGGGAAGAACATTTTCAGACGGAAAGAGTGTCAAAAATGGATAATAAAAATGATTAAGATTTGATTATGTGAATACTGAATAATCAACTTAAATTGAGATGGAGGGAGTATAAATTGTTGTTTTTATCATTCTGCCTGTGAAACAAATACCAATTTATGCTTTGTATATTGTTTACAATCAATAAAACGGCTGATTTCTCTATAAAACATTTGATATAAAAAAGACAAGAAAATGCGAGTTGGTTATTGTTTACATCAAGTACAATCACTCAATATTGGAGTAACATAAGAAATGGCTCTACCTCCTCACCCTCCATCTTTAGAGGAATAGAGGGACTGTCTTCATAGTAAAGCCAAGACGCCCCGTGAGGCCCTGTTGTCTGATCAAGTTTCTCCAAGTTTCTCAAATCCAAAGACCATAGTGGATTGATTGTTCTCCTCTAACTGCAGTCGTAATAGCTTTCAAGTCATCATTTTTCTCCTGAGGATGAAGTCTTTGAAGAAGAATGGCAAGTGATACATGATCGCTGCCATGGTTGAGTAATGTCCGGTTGAGAACCAAGCCGGGGGGTTTCTCTTAAGAAGTGCTTTCACGGTACGTTTCGCAAACTCGTCTGCAGGGGTCGCCTTTGTGACCTGTGAGAAGACTGCTCTTGCTCTTATCGCTCTTTCAAATTTCTTGTAGTATTTCCATTCCGGCATTCGATCTTCATAATTGACAATAGCTGAGTTCCCTATATTGGACTTCACAGCTCCAGGAACAACATTGATGACTTTAATCCCCAAAGGTCTAAGTTCCAGCCTGCAATGCAATAAAAAAAGGGGGCAGTTTAAGATTCCCCAAAAAAGAACAGTATAAGATCAATGTAGGGAGGTTATGCCACGTTGATAACAGTTCACTGTAATAATTTTTTACAATTCATTAATTGGCACTCTAAACTTGGTTCCATCAATCCCAACTAGTAGGGATTAAGGTGCTGGTAATGGGGATGATGGTGCATTGGACTTATACTTCAAAATTTGACTCCAAAGTCAAAATTAACTTGGGGGTACAATTGAAGGGGGTGGGGGGTGTTCGGGTTGGGGCACGGTGGGGGGTTTATCGAGGGGGTTAGGAGGGGTATAGTAGGAACCGTCAATTTTACGAACGGGGCACCGGAGCACTCCGGGTCAGGTCATGACATTGATTCCCAATGTCATGGGAACCAAGGGGTTATAAAAGTTAAATTACTATATACAGTATTAAATGTTTATTAATCTGTTTTCAAGCATTCTGAACCAGTCTCGTCCAGGTCCACCCAGTGAACCCCTATCCATCATTCTTGCTTCAACAGGTTCGAAGGTTGTCTGGTTTTGATAACTTTAATTGGTTATAATGATGTTTTGAAAATATAAAGTGGAGGAGAGCATGTCAAAACAACCTCATGGTGTCTTTTGATGCATTTATGATAAAGTTGTCAAAGGTAGGACATGCTTACAAGGGGAATGACTTAAACAGTAACTATACCTCAAAGTATCTGTTAGTGAATGTAGAGCAGCTTTGGATGAACTGTAAGCACCAGCCCATGGCCCAGATGCTAGAGCAATACAACTTCCAACATTAACAATCTTTCCCTCTCTCCTGGATGCCATGTGAGGAACCACAGCTTGAATTAACCTCATGCTTCCTACCCATAATAATATTACAAAGTCATAACGTCATTTACAAATCGAACAACACTCGTTTTTTTTCCCACTAACTAATGAAAGACATTTAACATAAAAAATAATATCTTTCACTGGTAAACAAAGTGTCATTAAGGACATCCTCTGTAATGGTTTTTTGGCTGATATAAACAAATGTTTGGTAATATCCATTTCAGCCAAATACTCAAGTCATAAGCTACTTATTTTACTTGTAAGTCGAATAAGTAAAATAAGCCAATTATGACAACTGCCGGGTGCCTGCATTAGTGACATTTACACTCCGTTTGGATGGTAGGAAAGTAGAGAGAAAGAAAAGTTTAGGTGAGAAAATACACTTTTCTATAAACAAATCTCTTGTTTGGTTTGCAAAGAAAACAGTGAGAAAACAAAATGGTCCAACTTTTTTGGTTTGCAAACACCAACTTTTTGGTTTGCAAAGAAAATAGCGAGGAAACAAAAAATCTCTTGTTTGGTTTGCAAACACCAACTTTTTTCTCTTCATTTTGTCTCTATTTTCTTTCCTCCTACTCTCTTTTCTCTCATTTCTCTTCCCATCCAACCAATGGGTTAACCTCAAGTCCAATGTCAAATTCATTCTGGAACCAAAATTGTCCAAATAACTTGATTATGCTAAAAAGATGGAATGCAGTATCAATTGAAACTCATGTAGAAGAAGAACAAAAACGGTCACGGAGCATTCAACAATTAGATTAGATATTTAGATTGATAATCAAAACAGCTTACCGAAGACATTGGTGTCGTAGGTGTGTTTAATGGTGGACAGGGGGATCTCAGCGAGCGGCCCAACGCTCAGCACTCCCGCGTTATTCACCAGAACATCGATCCGGCCGAACCTCCGAAGAACGTCGGCGAGAAGAGTCGTGACTGAGTGATCGGAGAGGACGTCGAGTTCAAGAGGGTAAAACCGCGCATCGTTCTCGAAATCCAACATCGAGGAGCGAGATCGGGCGGTTGGCACCACCAAGCAGTTCTTCGCGGCGAACTCGCGGGCCATGGCGTGGCCTATGCCGCCGCTTGAACAGCCTGTAATCACAACCACCGGCTTGTTGGCGAGCTCCATGTTTCTGTAGCGCTCAAGTGCAACTCTCCCTCCTTCTCTAGTCTCTCTCTCTCTCTCTTTACTAGTGTTTGGACTTTGGATCTATGCGTCTTGGAAAACGTGTTACAAGCAGAAGCCTGCCTTCATCTTGGAGACGTCAATAAGCTGTCCCGGGTGTAGGGCACCTCATCTTGGAGATGAGTAGAAATGAGTTCGGTTTTGGCCGTTAGTTTTTTACCAAGACCAAAGACAAAAAGGGAGGTAGATTGGTGTTTCGGTTTGATTTGGTTTTGCATAAAAAATATGCAAACCATTTGTTATTCGGTTTGATTTATACGGTTTTTATTTCGGCTTTATTCTTTTTTTTCAGTTTATAAAAGATGAAATTTATAGGCATTAAAAATGATAAAAACACTAACTCGATAAAACAATAACAATATGTAGTGTTAGCTTTGGTTTTTTGTTTGATTTTTACACAAAAACAAAAACTAAACGGAACGTTATTGTTCTTTTTGGTTCAATTTTACATAAAAAATATATGTTGAGTGCCCAACAAACATTTAGAAGATTCCAAATACTTCCAAAGACATTGTATGTAAAATCAATTACGAAGAATTTATGTTTTTTGGTATAATACTTTCATTTTCATTATAACATCAAAGTATTTTTATGTAAATTACTCGTATCAATTTTTAATGTTAATATAATTCTATATTAAGATTAGCTATTGGTGTTCATATTTTTAAATTTTTTTAAAGTTTATATTAATATTGCTAGAATGTCTAATTAATAGTTAAGAAAATAATTTTAATCGACTAGTAATTTATTTGCATTTATATTTTCTATGATTTTTCTACATATCACATATATTCATATAAATAAACAAAGTATCTAAAGAGAGTTCGGTTTATTCGGTTCGGTTCGGTTCGGTTTTTCAAAGTGAAAAACCAAAACGGAACCAAACACTAACGGTTCGGTTTGGTTTTTTCATTCGGTTTCGGTTTTTTCGATTCAGTTTTTTTCTAGCTTGTTTCGATCGATTTCTTTTCGGTTTTCGGTTTTCCCATCCCTATAGAGGCCTAACTTAGATAATTATTAATTAATAAAGAGAAATTCTAGACTCAGAAATATATATTCACAAAATGCACAAACTTACCTAATATATAAAATAATGGTTTTGAATTATGGTCTCAAATAATTAAAAAATAAAATACACAAATAGCAAGTGTGCATTTTGTGAGTGTTATGTTTGTGACTCTAGAATTACTCATTAATAAAAGGATGAGTCCCGTCCCGAGGGTTCCCTTAGATTCGGCTTGACGATCACTGAGAGAATATAAATTGGACTTGGTTCATAGTTTGTGGAAAAGAGTGAATCGTGCACTTCATAGTTCATATTTGCACAAACCTTATACTTAGCATGATTCTCTCCTAGCGTAGTTTTCAGAAATCGACCTGAAGTTTTACCCCCTCAATACTCCTTGCCTTGCGAATTGTACAATGCCCACTGGCTAGATAATTAATTTCAATTAAGATAGGGGTGCACAAAAAAGTGTATGCCCCATTTGTACACCAGCCAAATACAGACATTAAGTGTATGTGATCAGATATAATTAGTATTTGTGTTTGTCTGGTGTACAAATGGGCTACACCACTTTGGTGTACTCTAGCATGACCTACTTAATTTTCAATTTAGGTTTAACAATTATTTAGGTTTAAAACTAGTCTTTATCACATGCTTTGCACGTGCTCACATAATTTTACGTGAAATATATCTATAAATATAATGTTTATACAAAAAATTGAAATAAAAAATGAATAGAGCAATGACTTATAGATTTAATGTGACTATGATGTGTGTGTAATTGAAATAAGAAACATATACTTCGGGCCTGCTTGGAAATAGCGTTAGTGTTTTGGATAAAATTTTAATGGTGTAGATTACTTCGAAAATGCTAACGCTAAATGCTGCACGTAGATAGCCTTTTCAGAATGCTAACTCTAATCTCTAACGCTATTTTCAAACAACCCCATATAAAAACAATAATTTAATATAACGAAATGATTGTGTTTTTGTACTCACTCCGCCCAATTCAAATCGCTTGTTTCGGTTTACGATGTTTGGCTGAAGTTATTTTCAAATCATTTTATATGAAAATTAAATGGTGTAGAATTAAAAAATAAAAATTGCATATTTAAAAAATACATCAAAAGATCTACAAAACTAGTTGACAATATTATTTTAGTAAATGATTAATGAAAATAAGGAAAAAAAGTGAATAAAATTTTACCCTGTGGACTTGACACAATCTAACCATTCAAGCGCAAATGTTTAGAGTCAATAAATCCTGTTGTTTCTTTATGAATCCTTTTGATTGTGTACAATCATTTCATGTATTCCCTTGTGATGTCTGTCATCAACTCGTCTACTCAAATAAAAGAATCCTAATAAAGGTGTTAGTCATTCTGTCCACGCCTTAGAAGGGTGTGAATAAGGCGTTTGAAAACTTTTCGGAGTTTAATAAAGATGGTGTTGACAAATGCAGAAGCAATATATGAAACGCAGAAATAAAAGCGTAAATAAAATGCACACCGATTATATACTGGTTCGGAAACTCCCTACTCTAGTACCTCAAAGCTCCTCCTCAAGGATTTCCAAATCCACTAAGTCCCGGTCTCTTGAAGTCCGTCAAAACACCGCACTAGTTTGGCCAACAACCCTTGCCAATATGATTCACTCTGAGATTTTACAACGGCTATCTCAAACCACTTACAATGAAGATTTCACGGATATTTTTGACCGTCCCCCCCAAGGATTTCAAAGGCCATCCTTGAGCCTTTATCCAAGGATTTATACAGCTATCCTTAACCGTTACAGCTTCAGAATTTAACGGCTATTCTCGACCATAAGAAAGTGTGTTTGAAAAATACAAGAAATGGTTCTACACAACGGCTTGAATACAAAATTGAAGAACAAAACTTTAGCTGATGTAAAAGGAAAACTATACTCTCTCAAAAGGTGCAAAATAAACTTATGAATATGAGAGTATATAACTAAAACTCTAGTTCAAAAGTGTGTATAAAATCAAGAGATTGAAGCTCTTGAAATAGTCAAAATTTTGAAAATAAAGAATAAAAGAATGAACACACTTAAAATATGAATAAAGGATGTTTGTGTTAGTCGCTTTAGTCGTTGTGCCCACGCCTTAGAGGGGGGGTGAATAAGGCGTTTTAAAATCTTTTCGGAGTTTAATAAAATGGTGTTGGCAAATGCGGAAGCAATATATAAAACACAGAAATAAAAGCGTGAATAAAATGCACACCGATTTTATACTGGTTCGGGAACTCCCTACTCCAGTACCTCGAGGCTCCTCCTCAAGGATTTCCGAATCCACTAAGTCCCAGTCTCTTGAACTCCGTCAAAGCACCGCACTAGTTTGGCAAACAACCCATGCCAATAGGATTCACTCCGAGATTTCACCACGGCTATCTCGAACCGTTTACAACGAAGATTTAACGGCTATCTTCTACCGTTCCCCCAAGGATTTCAAAGGCTATCCTTGAACCTTTACCCAAGGATTTATACGGCTATCCTTGACCGTTACAACGCGAGAATTTTACGGTTATTCTCGACCGTAAGAAGGTGTGTTTGAAGAACACAAAAGAGGATTCTACACAACGGCTAGAATATAAAAATGAAGAACAAAACTTAGCCGGTGTAGAAAGAAAGTATACTCTCTCAAAAATACAATTCAAACTTATGAATATGAGAGTATATAACTAGAAACACAAGCTCAAAGTGTGTGTATAAAAATCAGGAATTTAAGGCTCTTAAAATAGCCAAAATATTGAAAATAATTAATAGAAGGATGAACACACTTGGAATAAAAAGAGAGGATGTTTAGAGCTTTGTTTCTTGTTAAAATATGAAGTATTAGGCCTATATTTATAGTGGAAGATGTTAATTATCCGTTAAGAGGTGATTAGAGTTGAATTAATTCAAAAATAAGCAATCAGGAATAGTGTTCCAACGGTAACGGTACCCTGTCACGGTAGCTAGGTCCCGTACGGTAGCTAGGTTTTCTTCTCAGGCCAAAACTCTCTGGCGGTACCTATACACGGTACCTATACACGGTAGGGGGGTCCCGTCCATACGGTAGGGGGGTCCCGTCCATACGGTAGGGGGGTCCCGTATCAGATTAACACACGGTACATCTTACGGTACCCCTCACGGTACCTAGGTACCTTTTGACGATTTTGATAATTTTTTCATTTTTGTCCAAATCATTTCCAATTTTGTTTAAAACATTTTGAATGTTTGAAAATGATTATAAAAGGGTTTTAAACATATTTTGTGAGTGTTTTTGACCTTGTGAATATAGGTATATAAGATCATATCCTTACATCGGTTTCTACCTAAATTCTACGCTAGTTTAGTGTTTCAACTTCATTCTTGAGAACCGAATCTTAATGGATTCTTGTTGTACCTGAAACACTTAAACAAACGTCAAGCTCTTATATTGTTTGTTAACATCAAAACATGAGGCTTAGCAAACCAAGGCTAACAATTTGGAGCTTTGTTTCTTGTTGAAATATGAAATATTAGGCTTGTATTTATAGTGGAAGGTGTTAACTAGAAGTTGGGAGGTGATTAGGGTTGATTAAGTTCAAATTCAGCAATCAGAAACCCATTATGAACTCGTTCATCATCATGGCCCTCATCATAGTCCAGAGATTGTTGGGATCCATGGAGGGGGTTCTGCCACCGGACGTCTCACCAAGTTGGAAAAGCGGTGAGTTGATGTCACCTGGCAGCACCATCTATCCCCGTGTCGCGGATCATTCCTTTAAGCTGTTGGGCCACCATACTAGCCCTCATGGCGGGTATTTGTCGGATATGACGCTTGAGACCTTCCCCGTCCATCGTTTTCCATTGTGGAATGTGGTGCCGTCACAATTTTTTCTAATGCCACCACTGTTCGGCAGCGGAGGACCTTGTGACTCTTCTTGAAGCAATCATTTTCGAATTGAAAGAGCATGCTTGATGTTTTTGAAGCTCTCAATGAAAGTACCAATGATGAGTTTATGAACCCAAGGACCTTAAAGGCTAGGTAGGAGGGTATCAAGCAAGGGTTGAGTGCCTTTTTCAAGCGCAAGAGTGCAGAGTGAGTATATTTGTTTAGTAGTGAATGTGATGTCCTTTCTCCGAAGTGGGAGAGGTATTTATACAACACATTTATCAAATACATGTGACTCCTAGCCGTTGTTTAGGACAGGACCTAGTGAGCCAAGGCCCACTGGATAGTATCTTTGACCGATAACACAAGGGTTGTAATTATAAATAGTATAGTTACAAATGATGTACATACGAGCAATATCAGAGATGCTCTTGTGTGGGCCAGTAGAGTGGACAGTGCGTACAGGATCCTAGTCGATGATAGGCCTGCCTTGCTTTTCTAGCAGCAGGGGTTGAGTACACGATTCTATCGTTGGATGATGTCCGAGTAAAGATCTATCCGAATCTGTCCAGATCTGCCCCTGTGTCAAAGCTCATGAAGTCGAGCTGGGTGTAGACGCGTTTCTTGAGGGCTTGGTTTCCCTTAAGTCCCGCTCAGCTAAGTAAGACGTTTTGTTCGGGCGCGTTCGATTCCTGTGATTAGATGGGCCTTGCATTGGGTCGTTATTGTTTTGTTGGGCTGGATCAAGTTTAGGATATCCATCATGTCCTTTTATTTTCAAGAAGATAACAAAGGTTCTCACATTTTGTCATAATGACTGGAAAGGGGCATTACGTCCAATACTTCATCCATAAGTGTTAATAATATATTTTTCATATTTTTTCCTTAATTTTTATGGTAATAACTCTTAGGTCCCTCACTTTTTAGTTTCTTTGTTTTTCTTTTTTCTTTTTTGTTACTCTTTTTTTTCTTTCAAAAATCTCTTCTATAAAATTTTACAAAAAATTCTAATTGTTTGTATGATATAAAAATAAATGAAATAAAAAGATTTCCTATAAAAGAAAAGACTATGTAAAATTAAAAAATTGAAAAATAAAGCAAATTGTTTTCCCTAGAAAGTCCTCAAGATTCTTTTTTACTACTTTGTACGGAATATTAAAAAAATCAAATTTTATTTTTGATAAAGTTCTTATTTAATTTATTTTTATATCATACAAAAATTTGAAACTATTTTCTAGAACAGTTTTTTTTAAAAATCTTTATGAAAAATGAAACAAAGTGAACAAAAGGAACAAAAAAAGGAAACAAAGAAACTAAAAAGTGAGAGACCTAAATATTATTGAATTACCATAAAACATTATAGAAAAATAAAAAAATATATTTATTAATGCTAATGGATGAAATATTAGAAAAAAATATTCCCTCTCAAGTATTTTTCGACTTGTGGGCTTTTTTTAAAATACGGAGTACTCCGTATAAATTATCCCCGGGCCTGCCGTCATAAGCAACCACTATAAGCTACTGAGTATATATAAAGTCTGAGAGATTTCTCTCCACAACCCGAAAGGCCGAAACCCTAGACCGTCTTTCTCTCTATCCCATGGCGAAGAAGGAGCAGCTCAAGAAGCGAAAGCTCATCAAGAAATCAGACGCATCCAACAGTCGTGACCAGAGATTGAAGAAGAACAATAACAGTAGGAACGCCAATGTCTCCCCACCGGAGTCCGATTCCGAATCTTCGCTTGACGACATCCAAGCCCTCCTCGAACCCTTCTCCAAAGACCAGCTTATCGCCCTCGTAGTGGATGCTTCCCTCCACCACCCCATCCTCATCTCCACCATCCGCTCCGTCGCCGATTCTGATATCTCTCACCGGAAAATTTTTGTTTTCGGCCTCGGCTACGACTCCACCCGTGAAACCCTCCTCTCTGTTTTCCAGCGTTATGGAGAAATTGAGGACTGCAATGTTGTCACAGACCGGGTCACGGGGAAGTGTAAGGGATATGCTTTTATCGCCTTCAAGACAAGGAAAGCCGCTGCAAAAGCCCTAAAAGAACCTAAAAAGAAGATCGGGAGTAGGGTTGCCTCGTGCCAGCTGGCTTCTTCTGGGCCTGCTGCTCCCGGTTCTGCTCAGCAGGATGTGAGTGGTCGGAAGATTTATGTGAGCAACGTCGGGCAGGATACGGATGCAAGTAGGTTGAGGGACTTCTTTGCTAAGTTCGGGGAGATTGAGAGTGGTCCTTTTGGGGTTGACCCACACACTGGGAAGTGGAAAGGGTATGCCTTGTTTGTGTACAAAACCACAGAGGATGCAAGGAAATGTCTGGAAGATCCCTACAAGATGTTTGAAGGACGGCAATTGCATTGTGAGAAGGCTGCAGAAGGGAAAGGTGTCGGCAAATCTGGAGGGGCGGCGGGAATCACTACAGCTGTGGTGAACCAGCCGTTTCAGGCAATGCAAGCAGCACCAGATATATTGGCTGCCATGGCTGCTGCCCAGAATATGGCACTTTTGGGTCAGAACCCGGCTGCAGCTTTGTTGAATCCATTGTACAGCCAGTTGATTGGAAATGCCAACTTAGGTATGTTAAACCCAGCAATGGGTTTTAGCCAAGCAGTGATTGGTTCAGGTCAAGCTGGGCAACCTGGCATGGCAGCTGCTGGTTATGGTACATCAATTGGGGGTCTTGGAGGGAATACCTTAGGGATGCTAGGATCATTTGGCATTCCAGGTGGGGGGATGCCACTAAGCTTAACAAATGCTTATCCTAATTTGCAAGACAGGCAGATTTCAGCATCTGCTAAGGCTCCACGTAGCAGTGGCTTTTCTTCTCATCACATTGGTATGCCATTATCTACTTGACATTCACATATTTATTTGCTCTTAACAAAACATCATTATTTTAATTGCCTAATAAGAAAAGAAAAGGGAGTATCTTCGTGCAGGCAAGTTGATTTCATTATTTAGTGATGTATATTAGTTTCTTTGCAGTTGAGGGAATGCCAAAACAAAAGTCATAGTGTTTTTTTGTGGATTTACATTACTCTGCATTCACAACATATAATCTCCAATATTACAAGTCAATAATACTAGTAAAAAATCCATCTATGGATTCTTGTGATGTTTGTAAAAGATTCAGTATTCTCCTTTAGTTCACATCTATAAAAAAATGTTTCTGCTGTTTTTTGGAGACAGATGAAAGACCGTATGATTTTTAGGGAGCTGTCGTGCTAGAAATGGAAGACAAATGGCTTCAAAAGGGTAGTGCCTTCATTCATTCTCATCTTTGATTTATCAATGAAAGTATGAAATGAGTTTGTCTGTTCCGGATGACTCTGTATAATGACACTCTGTAATTTATTTAGTACAGTGCAGGAAGAGATTAAATTTACTTACATTTCCTTTATTTTAACGATTCAGTTTACAAATTCCTCCTAATGTTGTGTTTTCATCCACTAGTTGCCTGCAATGACCAATTGCCTTCTCTAAGAGTGCAGCCTAAAATCTATTAGGCAACATAAGACTGTTTATTAGGAAAAACTCATATTGTATCACTTCAGACATTTTGTCTATTCTATGCCAGCCTTGGAATATTTTATTTCAAAGGAAGTTGAGTTTTCATCACCTTGAATTGCAAGTTAATTGAGCGTCTTTTTCTTTTTGCAGATCAGTTTTAACTCGGACCAAGGATACATAATTATTCTTGTTGCTTGAACGGTTACTTTTGATAAGTGCCTTTGGTTGTGGCAATTGAATCTGAAAGCCATGTGCCCTTTCTAGTTAATGTTTTTTATCAACTTTGTTGATCTTTCTAAATTTTCTTTTTAAGATGCGTTTCGTGTACACTTGTTGCTTTATAGAATTACTATTTTGTATTTTTACATATATGAATCTTTATTTTAAAGTTTTTTATTCTTGTGGATTGCTATTGTTTTTCTGGATTCTTGATTTCGCTATCCTGAATTTTGTTTTGCTCTTCATTTTTCATTTTTGTTCTTTCATACATGCATTTACGCTGATAGTATTACTCCCTTCTCACTTTCCATTTGTTGATATATCTGAAAAGAGATTTCATGGCTTATGGTTTTTTTTGGACTGTGCAATTTTAATGTATATTCTGTAACTAATTTGCAATTTATTCTATTTGTTTCCTTCTCTTCTTCTTCTTCTACTTCTTTTTGCAAGGAAAACAACTTATAGCTCATTGTATTTCATTCATTAGGCATCTATTTAAGGTATGTTAATTGTAATCACCTAAAAGCTTTCAATAGATCTGAACAATTTTCCCACCACTTGAAATCTTTAATCTTTGTCAGGTGTCATCATTTTTAAAAAAACCCTATTGTTCTTTCACATAAATGCTTACAGAGCATCTTGTTACCTTATCTGCAAGCCTGCAATTTGCTAATGATTTGGTCGAGTAGTTTTAACTCACGAGTCACGACTCTTCTAGTTAGAGTAGGGAGTTGGGTGTCAAGGGGGTAGTTCATGCAGGGGTGGGACTTTTTCTGTGGGCTGGTTATCGTTCATCCTCTTTCTTTTTCTGTATTTCTTTCTTGAATAGTTCATCTTTTGACTTCTCATTGTCTTACTTAACATCTTAGGTTGCATTGAATTGTGGGTCTTGCATTCAAAACCTTACCATGTTGTTTTTGTTGTGAATGAAAGACACCATGTGATTACACTATATCTTGTGCATTGCAGTTCTTTTGCATATTCATATGTTTTTTTCTTGGCACTTCAGGCTTTTGTTTCTCTGCATTTTCACTCTTCTTTTGTCTTGTTTTTGAGTTTTCGGGCCTTGGTTTCTTGTTCATTCTATACATCACTTTTCTTTGTTTTTTATATGTTCATTACTCCATTTTACACACACACACACACACAGAGAGGGATAAGCAACAACTCATCATACTAGACTTTGGAGGTTTTTGGTGGATCCTTTGCCCTTCCATGCTGTAAATATACCTGTACAATTTATTTTTTTCACCCACTCCAACCACATAATCTAAGTTGTATTCAGTAGATTCTTGTAATGAATTATTATTTTTAATTTTCAACTATTGATTGAAAATCGGCAAAGTCAATTAAATTGAAGCGTGGTTTGAAAAACAAAATAAAAAATTGGGCAAAGTTAATTAGAATGTTTTGAACTGATATTCGTCTAGTTTTGTTTTTTCCCAATGCATTAGAAGTTCCACCCCACCCCCACCTTAAATATGGATGAACAGATCAAATTTGGAATTTCCTTGTAGTAGGTGCTTTTTTATATAAAAAATGAAACTCCATTCCCGAGAACCCCTCCATAGCAGCCGAACAATAAGTTGATAGTAGGAGGCAAATTAATCTATGATTTCAATTAATTGACATAAGGGTGGGGTACTGTGTTTGGTACTTGCAGAAACTTCATGTTTTGTATGGTTACCTCTCATTGCACTCGCTAGGTTTCAAAGTTGATATTTTCCTTTGTAGCACTCTTATTCCAATTGTTGAGCTATGCCTCAGTGGCAAGCACTTTTTTAGTGTTATTTTTGTACACTTTTTTTTGGAAAAAATGTTTTAAGAAAGAATTGACATGAGTATGAATCAATAAAGAGTTTCCTATCTGTCTTAGGTAACTTACTGACTGTTATTATGATTGATTCTAATAAGAATAAGTGATAAGTAAAACATTAATTTGAGAAAAACGTGACCTAAGTAGTTGTGAGGCAAACATGGAATGCCACATGCTGACGTGAAGTATTTCAACCAATAAAAAATAGTCCAGTCAACGAGTGACACGTGAGTGGAGTGACATGCCTTGCAGTGGCAAGTCATTGTTTTCATCACTTTTTTTTCATATTTTTGCCATATTTGAATTATTAAAAATTATTTTACTTATATATTTTTATCATGAAAATACTTCTATTTACTTGAATAAATAATTTTTTTATATATATTTTAATTATTAAAAATGTTTTTGTTATCTATTCCATATTTTTATTTATCCCTTCATCTCAATTTAGATGATTATTTTAGAATTATGATGCAAAAATTCTCCATTTTTAAAAATAATTTAATATAAAAATTGGTATAAGAATTAAAATTTAAAACTTATAAATTTAAAAATTAGATCAAAAGTTCTACAAAAAAAGGTGTGACAAATTTTTTTTAATTAAATAATCAAAGAAAACATACAAATAAATAAAAGATATCGAGAGGTGAGGGAAAAAATTATGATCTATTGCGAGATGAAGAAAGTAAAAAGTAATTTTATTACTTTGCAAAAAAAATCTTTCTCAAATAAAAATTGATGTTTATTTTTTATCAAAAAAAAAAATTAAAAAAATAAAAAAAAGATATGAATGCCACGCTCAAGACACGGAGTGCATGGTAAATTAAACATGACTTGCGAGGCAAAAAGAAAAAAGTGGGGCTTTGGGCTGAGGTGTCGTGGCATGGCAGCCAAACCCCTCGCCATTGCTGCTGCTCTAATGATTGATTAGCGATGCAACACAATTGGACTAGATGATCGCCTAAGTTCTTAGCCAGATGGGATTATGCATCATACTGTTTGTTTTGTGAACGTAGCTCAAAAGTTTTAGGTGAACCACATTAAATCTTTGGTGTCCTACTTTGCTTTATATTTTTACCTCCTAATATTATTATCTTTCGCTGTGCGTCCATACAAGTTCAATCTTGGGCAGTCAGAGCCATGTCCAATATTGGGGCAATGGAGGTAAGGATGAGCAAAATGATCAATTTGAACGGTTTGAATTATCATATCTGAAGTAGCAAGATGAAGGATCTTCTCACGGTCACCAAGATGTACTTGCCGGTATTTTCTACTGTCAAACTTGAAAAGATGTGTGACAAAGATTGGGAGTTCGAGCATGAACGAGTTTTTGATGATCCGAATCTTTGTCGATGATAACCTTTACAATCATATTTGTAACGAAACTCATGCTAGAACTTTGTGGGACAAGCTGGAGCTGTTGTATGGTTCAAAGACCGGCAACAACAAATTACTTTACTTGATGCAGCTTGTGCAAGTAAAATATGAAGAAAACACTTATGTAACTGATATTAACTTCACTACCAGAGTCATGAGAAACTCTAAAGGTGTCTTTGACAAACCCCTGCACTAAATGGTCTAGTGAGTGTGGAAGCTATTAAGAACAGTATTTTAAATGAAGAGATGAGACGGGGGTCTTAAGGTTTAAGCTCTTCCTCACCATCAGAAGTTCTGGTTACTAAGAAGGGGGAAAATTAGTTTAACACTTCCAGTTCCAAAAACGGAAGCAGAGGGAAATCAAACAAGTATGCTAACGTCAAGTGCCATTACTGCTAGAAGAAAGGTTACCTCAAAAGGTTTTGCTGAAACATGACGTACAATTAGCTTAACCAAGGCAAGAAGGGGGAGCTGGGTAGTGATGGTGAACGAGAGAATCTTGTAGAATATTTCAATATGAGCCGTGACAATGAAATTGTGTGTCTATTAACCCGTGAGGCAGGTTGGGTAAATGATGAAGTTCTGACAAGAGTACCAAACCCAGTAGGAGATGAAGTTCATGATGACCATCTACAAGATACAAATGATGGATGTATTTCCCACAAAAATGAAGCAGAAGAAGAGAATGTTGGTGGTGGTCACACAAAGCCACCATTGCCTGGAGAGTCTCTAATTCCCTTAAGAAGATCTAGTAGAAATATGCAGCTTTCTACTTGATACCCAGCTGATTAGTGGGTTACACTGATTGAAAGTGGAGTACCATATTGCTTCAATAAATCTAAGGATGTGAAGACTGCCTTCCTACATGAAGATGAGGAAGAAGTTATTCTAGCAAAAGAAATGTCCTGCCAATCAGCCACTAGAATAATGAAGCGTTCTGATCGGGAGGGGGAGATTGTTGGGTTGGGTCCCTCCAAATAAAGGACCTACATTCCATTCCTAAAGCTTATCAATTTGGAGAAAGAAAAGTTAGATTTGGCCTTTGACCAAACGGTTTGCGGCATGGAGAAGGAAGTCAAATTCTATTTGGCTTGAACATTGAAAAGTCTTCACATGATGATGAAGTTCAAACTTGGCGGCTAACTTTGCATGGCAGCAGCAAGATGTGGAATCCAAAACCAATTATGGCCATGTAAAATCTTTGGTGTCCTACGTTTCTCTCTATCTTTACCCTCTAATTTTATTATCTTCCACTTCGCAACTCAATAAGAAATATAGGATTGAGCCCTCCATAGAGAGTTGTTTTATTTCTTCTACTATTAGAAATGTAATTTTCTACCAGTAAACTTGAAATATTTCTCACTGGGCCCACTTGATATTAACAAGTGCTTCTTCTTGGGCTCGCAGAATCACAACGTACCCAAAAGATATGCCTGCTTAAAGAAACAAAAAAGAGATGTAGGTGAAGCGAAAAAATTATATTAACAAGATGGAGTATATAAAATACAAATTTGGTGTAGACACACTCAAAACCCTTGACACAAATGTTTCATTGGTAAAAAAACACAAGACAATATTCTTGTGACTCAAGAAAAAATAGTACCCCAAATGTTTCACTCTAAAAACAAACACAAGTCTGCAAACTTTTGACTCAGAAAACAATATTATCTCACAAAAGGGCTCTCACACACAAACACCAAATGAGGCCAAAACTTTAGTGTAAAAATACTAAGTTATATCCCAAAAATCTCTTTGAATGGACTTATAAAACTTTTCTTAGTTTCCACCATAATCTCAAACTCTCACCGAATATGGTATTATAGAACTCTTCTGAGCTCCCCCCATAACCTCTCCATTAGATGGAGGGTATTGAGTGTAACCCTAAATTCTCATATGGATATATCTCAAATATAGAGACCAATTTTTATTTATATAGATCCATTTTTTATTTATATAGACCCATATCAGTCACCTCAATTCCACCCCCTCATTCGTAAAGCTAGTTGTCATTTGCCAATTCAAACTTTTGCTACAAGTTGTTATAACCTTATCCAACATGTGATCAATAATCAAACAAAAGTTAGCAAATCCCAATTTACCTCAGTATGCCAGGCATGCACACACTAACCGCCATACAGTCTCTCTATCTTTTTTTTTTCATTTTTTTCATCTTGTGCTTTCTTTCAAACATGTGGCCGGGTTTGCCACATTATGAGTTATTAGGTTTGTAGAAGTATTTTTTCATTCTATAGTGGAGGAGAAATATTTGACTTTTTAGAGTTTGGTTTTTTCTTATACCCCTCAAACCAAAGTTTTACTCCAAGCATTTTGATTTCAAAAACTTTAACTTTGTTTCTAACCTTCCATATATTTTCACTTTCCTCCATTAATTTGTAGATGTAATCCAACTTGTCTTTGTTTTGTTTTTGCACTTTAGTTCGTCTCCTGTATTTTCCATTGTCGGTAGCCTGTGAAGATTCTCTATTGACTTTGTGTCTGCTCTTCTTTCATCATCTTTTCCATCACTCATGTGGAGTACCATTTCAACAGACAACTTTCCTTGATGACAGGTACCTGCTGTTCAGTGATACTTGTATGCACTTCATTTGAGCATGTAGCTTCTTTCACCATTGCTGGGTGACAAAGATCTTATTAGTTCCCCTTTTGTAGTGAAATCTCTAGCTCGCATTATTCTTTGTGACAAAACAAATAGTAAGTTTGTTATTTGTGCTAGTTGTTGCTATGTAGACTTAGTTGAGGTTGTAGCGTTCTACCCGTCATTGAAAGTGCTGACTTGAAGGAGTGTAGCTGGATTGTGTTATGAAAATTTTGCA